CTCTCTCTCTCTCTCTCTCTCTCTCTCCATTACTTTCTAGCGCTGTTTTTTCTCTGAAACTATTTTACTCTATTCTTCCTCTTTATGCTCTCTCTCTCTCTCTCTCTCTCTCTCTCTCTCTCTCTCTCTCACACACAAACACTCTCTCTGCTCTGTCTCTTTTTCTAAAGCTGTCGTTCTAATATTGTTTCTCTCTATAACTCTTGTCCTCCCTTTCTTTAACGTCTCTGTCCCTCTCTCTCTCCATTTCTTTCTGGCGCCGGTTTGTTCTCTCTAAAACTCTCTTTTTTCCCTATTGCTTTTTCTCCTTCCTCTTTAAGCTCTCCCTCTGCTTTATCTTTGACTCTAACACCTTCATTCTCTTTACCATTCTACCTTCCTCGCTTTGTCTTTAACGTCTCTCTCTCTCCCTAGCGCTGTCTTTTCTCCAACTCTCTTTCTCACTTCTGCTCTTTCTTTACACCCCCCTCCCCAAACACCTCTTCCCTCTCTCTCTTCCAGTGCTAATGTTCAAAGAATTCCACCATACAATGTCCCTAAGAGCCGTCGTATCGCAGTGGCTTGACGCGACCATACTGGCTTGAAGGTCTTCATTTCGAACCCTAATCATGGCAGATTAAAAAAAAAAAAATATTGAACATCCAGGTCCACATGCTAGTAACGAGTAACAGTAAATGTAAAATTAAAGTAAAGGACCCTTTCTACGCCTTTAGGCGTATTGGGCATATAGGGCTAGACCTATATTTTTATAGACCAACGGCACAAGATGGGTGATGTGGTCAGCATCACGCCTAACAGTAAATGGTCTGGGAAGTAAAGACGACCGGAGTGGTGTTGACCATGTTACCAGCTCGAGTACCAACTGGTCTATAAAACTGGATTCAGCTCAACGTGATGTGTCCTCTATTTTCTTTGCACAGTAACAGCGTGCACTCAAATGTTGAACTCTGTGTGTGTGTGTGTGTATGTGTGTGTGCGCGCGAGCGGGTACGTGCGTGCGTGTGTTAGTATCGGCAATCAATACTGTATCATCAACATGTCTAATGTTGATTATAAAAATCCCTATCCCCATGTGGATGCAGTTTTTCAAAGCCCCCTCCTTCCCCCTTTACCCTGGCTGTTGTAGGGGCCCTAACATAACCTTACGGTTGAACAGGGTTTCTGGGACTTGGCCCCGGTTGATTCTCATCCAAATGGTGGCACTTTGCGTCACCAGGTGTTTATCGCTCGTCGTGCAGATGGTGGGGTTGGACGTCAGTCAGTCAGTCACTTAATGTTGCTGATCTCACACAGGAATGGGATTCTGGCAGAGGTGCTTAAACCAACACAACAGTGAATTGTAAGCTGGTCTCCCCATTTGCACACGACTACACACTAGCTTGATTCTGACTGGACGACCTACTGACCTGTTCACTTCTGATAGGTCAGCCTCGAGCGATCCAACTTTCACACAAGGTCACTGGGATATTCCACTCTTGCGCTCATACCGCATGTTGTATTTTTCACCATGCCAGAGCTTTTAATTTTAACACTTCTAAAACATTTAGATACTAGGTCTAACACAAAACCCCACTAGAAAGTGACAAAATGTGTGACCTATGCCACAGGCCGTCTCTTTCTCGGAAATAAAAACGTAAATAGGGAGACCATCGTAAAAATAACCCAACACAACATTGGGGGGGGGGGGGGGGGTGCTCACTCCATTTTCCAAGTCACCTCAAGGGGCCTTACTCTTGTTTCAGTCAATAATAATAATAATGTGCTACACAGCCTTATATTTTTTTGTGGGTGGAAAGCACATACAAATTTAAAACATACACTTCTATACATGACTAGGGTAGGCGGGGTGGGGGGGGGGGCAGCTCAGCTTCTTTACATATGTAGAGGACCCTGTGAGCCCTGGACAGCATTGTACTGCACGTCTGTGTGCTTCTAGTATCTTGTTTTGATTCTGTGCATGGCAAAGTGCACTTCACAGGTTCTAGATATTCTTCGTATGAAAACAATACTAGGGAAAGGAATGCCCGGAGACAGTGCAAACAGAGCCAAAGGGATTGCATCAGGAACAACTGGGTGATGGTGGCCTGTTTCTTGTTCCAGATTAGCGTGTGTGTGGGAAAACTGCACAGCAAATGACTTGGTCATATATCAAGCGGCTGCGTGTAGATGCCTGCATCTCAGCTAAGCTGGGGAGGGGGGGGGGAGAGTGGTGTATGCAGTTTTCTTCTACTTCTCTGTTCATCCCTTAAAAAGGTGACTGGCACATTGTGCTGTTATTTACAGCTAGGCTGTGCCAACTGTACCTTTCTGCCCAAGACATCTGATGCACAGCTGGGCTGTGCTAACTAGACCTTTCTGCCCAAGACATCTGATGCACAGCTGCGCTGTGCTAACTAGACCTTTCTGCCCAAGACATCTGATGCACAGCTGGGCTGTGCTAACTAGACCTTTCTGCCCAAGACATCTGACGCACAGCTGGGCTGTGCTAACTAGACCTTTCTGCCCAAGACATCTGACGCACAGCTGGGCTGTGCTAACTAGACCTTTCTGCACAAGACAACTGATGTACAGCTGGGCTGTGCTAACTATAACTTTCTGCCCAAGACATCTGATGTACAGCTAGGCTGTGCTAACTAGACCTTTCTGCCCAAGACATCTGATGTACAGCTAGGCTGTGCTAACTATACCTTTCTGCCCAAGACAACTGATGTACAGCTGGGCTGTGCTAACTAGACCTTTCTGCCCAAGACATCTGACGCACAGCTGGGCTGTGCTAACTAGACCTTTCTGCCCAAGACATCTGACGCACAGCTGGGCTGTGCTAACTAGACCTTTCTGCCCAAGACATCTGACGCACAGCTGGGCTGTGCTAACTAGACCTTTCTGCCCAAGACATCTGACGCACAGCTGGGCTGTGCTAACTAGACCTTTCTGTCCAAGACATCTGATGCACAGCTGGGCTGTGCTAACTATACCTTTCTGCCCAAGACATCTGATGCACAGCTGGGCTGTGCTAACTATACCTTTCTGCCCAAGACATCTGATGCACAGCTGGGCTGTGCTAACTATACCTTTCTGCCCAAGACATCTGACGCACAGCTGGGCTGTGCTAACTAGACCTTTCTGCCCAAGACATCTGATGCACAGCTGGGCTGTGCTAACTATACCTTTCTGCCCAAGACATCTGACGCACAGCTGGGCTGTGCTAACTAGACCTTTCTGCCCAAGACATCTGATGCACAGCTGGGCTGTGCTAACTATACCTTTCTGCCCAAGACATCTGATGTACAGCTAGGCTGTGCTAACTATACCTTTCTGCCCAAGACATCTGATGCACAGCTGGGCTGTGCTAACTAGACCTTTCTGCCCAAGACATCTGATGCACAGCTGGGCTGTGCTAACTAGACCTTTCTGCCCAAGACATCTGATACACAGCTGGGCTGTGCTAACTATAACTTTCTGCCCAAGACATCTGATGTACAGCTAGGCTGTGCTAACTATAACTTTCTGCCCAAGACATCTGATGTACAGCTAGGCTGTGCTAACTAGACCTTTCTGCCCAAGACATCTGATGTACAGCTAGGCTGTGCTAACTAGACCTTTCTGCCCAAGACAACTGATGTACAGCTGGGCTGTGCTAACTAGACCTTTCTGCCCAAGACATCTGACGCACAGCTGGGCTGTGCTAACTAGACCTTTCTGCCCAAGACATCTGACGCACAGCTGGGCTGTGCTAACTAGACCTTTCTGCCCAAGACATCTGACGCACAGCTGGGCTGTGCTAACTAGACCTTTCTGCCCAAGACATCTGATGCACAGCTGGGCTGTGCTAACTATACCTTTCTGCCCAAGACATCTGATGCACAGCTGGGCTGTGCTAACTATACCTTTCTGCCCAAGACATCTGATGCACAGCTGGGCTGTGCTAACTATACCTTTCTGCCCAAGACATCTGATGTACAGCTAGGCTGTGCTAACTATACCTTTCTGCCCAAGACATCTGATGCACAGCTAGGCTGTGCTAACTAGACCTTTCTGCCCAAGACATCTGATGTACAGCTAGGCTGTGCTAACTATGTCTCTTGCTCCCATATAGGGCATCAAAGCCTACAGGGGGTCAGTGTATCTGTGGGCATATAAGTGTCTGATTGTGTGCCGTGGTGTGTGGTTGTGTGTTGGAGAAATGGTCAGCAGTAGTGTGTGGGGTTAAACAGTGTTTAGTTGTGTGTGGATTTATGTTGAGTAGTTGTGTGTGGGATAAATGGTGAACAGTTTGTGAGATAAATAGTGAATAGTTGTGGGTGAGATAAATAGTGAGTAGTTGTGTGTTGAATTTATGGTGAACAGTTGTGTGTGAGATAAATGGTGAGTAGTTGTGTGTGAGATAAATGGTGAGTAGTTGTGTGTGGGATAAATGGTGAACAGTTGTGTGTGGGATAAATGGTGTGTAGTTCTGTGTTGAATTTATGGTGAATAGTTGTGTGTGGGATAAATGGTGAATATTTGCGGCTACTGTTATATTTACCCCCAACTTCTTTTAGATATTAAAATGGATTTTTAACTATTGTGGAGTCACCGTGACATCATGTAATTTAATAATTACATCACACAACTTTCTGATGCAAAGTGATTAAAACCACATTTTTTAATTACTCAAAGGGAAGAAAATCAGTTAATTATGTGCTCCTATCATATTTAGTAATTACTTCCCTTGATCTACCCTCACAATTTAGACAGTAACTGACAAAAATGTTCTTCAATCTATCCTTTAGTGACGTGGCATCATCAAAGAATCAGAGGACGTCACACCTGCTCGTCATTTTCGTGACCTGAAGGTTCAACCCACTGGATAATTATTTTTAAAACTTTCTTCCCCATTTACTTTTAGTCTTTTAGGGTAGAATCCTCGAATCACACAGAATTGTTTTTTTTTTTAAATTTAAATATTCTTACAGGATGAAAGGGTTAAATTATAAATACGGTAATGGTGGTGTCTACTGTCAAAGAAAATTAAGCACAAAATAGTAATGTGATAGCATATGTGTATGTGCAGGTGTGTTTAATTGTGTCTGTGCTTGGGAGGATGAGGACTGTAACGCTACACACATACATTCTTGCACTCAACTGGGGGAGGGGGTATGTTTGTGTAAATAGATTATGCTGGTTTTTTTTTTTTTTTTTGTAAATATACATCTGCACCTCCATCAAACAAACAAGGAACAGAAGACACTGCAGAGGTGGTATTTTCAACAAGAAAAGATGTAATTAAGTTCAACAAACAATACCATGTAATGCTCCCACAAAAGAAGGTGACACAGCCTCTCACAGCTGACCACCAGAGGATGAATGCAAGTCTGGAATCTCCCACTCTGCGTTTCTACAGCCAGGCCATATGGACACCACAATGACTGATGGCAATTCATCTACACATACTAGTGCAAAACATAATGTATCAATAAAACACTGCAAACCACCCAAAACTTCACCCATGTAACTGTCATCATAGGATAAACACGACCAATACCTTGGGATAAACTCACCGAAATGACTCTAATCACAGGATAAACTGTACCCACACAACAGACATTCTAAAATAAACTTGACCCCAAATCTCACCCCTACAATCATCACAGCTCTTGTTGCAAGATAAACTTGATCCACAAACCATACCCACACAACTGACATCCTGATATAAATCTGACATAACATAACCTCACCCCCCCCCCCCCCCCCCCCCCCCCCACACAAAATTATCTAGAGATAAACTTGACCCATAACCTAACCCCCACATAATTATCTAGAGATAAACTTGACCCATAACCACACCCCACACAATTATCTAGAGATAAACTTGACCCATAACCTCACCCCCACAACTGTCTTAAGATAAACTTGATGTATAACCTCGCCCACACAATTATCTAGAGATAAACTTGACCCATAACCACACCCCACACAATTATCTAGAGATAAACTGAATCCATAACCTCACCCCCACAACTGTCTTAAGATAAACTTGATGTATAACCTCGCCCACACAATTATCTAGAGAGAAACTGTATCCATAACCTCACCCCCACAACTGTCTTAAGATAAACTTGATGTATAACCTCGCCCACACAATTATCTTGAGACAAACTTGACTCACAACCTCACCCACACAATTATCTTGAGACAAACTTGACTCACAACCTCACCCACACAAGTGACAATTTTAGGATACATAATTTTATGCACAACTTGCCCACATCAAAATATTTCAAGCATTAACATCACCCACATCATACTTTACATCACCCATAATATCACCCACACCATATTTAAAATCACCCACATCATGGCAATGTTCAGAAGAAAGAAAGAAAGAAATCAACCACATCTCAGGTGATATATTTGTAATTGCGAGGAAAGAAAAAACCTGACCAACAGGACATGAAATTGGAACAAAAGCACATCAATAGAACAATGGGGAGGAGAAAATTGACCCCCATCAAAATATTCATGGGACCTAACATCACCCCTAATCGGACAAAACTTTGCTTACTATGGGATAAAAACTTCACTCACAATAGGGAAAACAAAAAACCAAAATGGGACAAAACATCACTCATAATGGGACAAAAATATTGTCACCTAGAGCAATAAGAATGCTCAATCACCCAAACAACTCACACACAAAAACTACAGCCACTATTTCACCAACTCTATACACTTGTAACAACAAATTTGTCACATCTCCGAGGACCTCTCTCTCTCTCTCTCTCTCTCTCTCTCTCTCTCTCTCTTTTCATCAGTCAGTAACAATCAAGTAAAGGGACCCATTTGTTAGGGCACAGGGCTCATGACGCTGGACTCATATTTCTCATACACCCAACGTCACTCGAAGGGCGATGACATCAATATAACGCAGGCTGAATTTACTTCCCAGGACTTTACCTGGTAACCATGTGAAGTTGGGTTGACCTGGGAGCCAAGGCAAATTCTGAAAGGAAAAAAAAAAAATCCTACTTGATACAGATTTGAATCTTAGGCCCGGAAGGCTAGTATCTAGCGGCTTCACCGATGCAGCTCCCACAGAACTTTTACATTAGTTATGAATCACTATGTGACACTGTCCTTGGTACAGAGACAGACAGGGGGAGAGAGAGTGGGGGGGGGGGGTGGGGTGGGGGGGGGGAAGAGAGAATACTGTCAGAAATACGGAAAGAGGTCTGACAGTAAGGATTCCATAGTGTGTCCCACAAGTTTTCATACGCAGAAAAAAAAACAGATCAACAACACAGACAACTCCGCCTGTGCTTATACGTGGTCTTCAACTGTGGAGGCCATGCATCAAAATATGTTTTCATAATAATGGGATGTGTCCTACGTACGGAAACTTAGACATCCAATGACAGATGTAACAGCAAATGGCACCAATACAGGGAAATGAACGTGTCAGCAGACACCAGAAGAGCACTCTATGACCCAATCTTCTTGCCAACCCTGTGCTATCATTGCCAGAACAAGAGAAAAGAACAATGACAACAACAGAAATAAGATTCCAGCCAAGGGCTCTCAATACAACAAAAAGCCACATGATTAGAGATGATGATATCAGAAGGCACATAGGGCTAGCGGCTGTTCCAGATTTTATTAGAAAACAACAAGTGAAATGGTTTGGCCACATCAGTAAATTGTATACTACAGCAAGCAATGAGGTACAGACCCGGGGGAGGGAGGGGGGGGAAACGGAGAAGAGTCCAACTATGCAAATTATGGACAGAGTTCCTGGGAATCCCCATTTACGAGGCGCAAAAGTGGGCACTTTACCCTAAATTATACTTCACCTGGACACCGCAAGGCACCAGCAAAGGACTGAGATCAGATGAGGGGAGATGAGATGCAGGCTTATAGCACACTGTGTACAACTAAACCACCACAGTTCATCAACTAGTTCTTACAGAACTGTTTCAGTCTTCAATTCTGGAATGTATAGACACCTTACAGCGTGAAAGTGTTTGTTTTTCCACATCATAAATACATATACAAGGATTCAACCTCACAACTTTGGCGGAACCAGCCAGATGCTCGGCCAATCTACCACCACACAGCATCAAGCAAGTACTCACAGGCACACACAAACCCAGCAGGTGCATCTGCAACTACCAGGCTTATGTACACACACAAACCCAGCAGGTGCATCTGCAACTATGGTGCTCATGTATACACAAACACACACACACATACGCTCACACAAACCCAGCAGGTGCTTCTGCAACTACGGTGCTCGTGTACACGCACACACACACGCTCACACAAACCCAACAGGTGCATCTGCAACTACAGTGCTCGTGTACACACACATGCTCAAACAAACCCGGCAGGTACATCTGCAACTACAGTGCTCGTGTACACACAAACACAAACCCAGCAGGTGCGACTGCGACTACGGTGCTTGTGTACACACACACACACGTTTAAACAATACATCATGTCTAGGTATGAACAGGTATAGAAACATCAAAGATGCACATTATCTACAGCATAAAAGTGAAGATGCAAGTTATCTACAGCATAAAAATACTTATCTAGACAATTTCAATCAAATATTTAATGCATTAATGAACAAAATCCTGATTTGTGCCTCCCATTTTCCTTTCTGTTCCTGATCAACCTGTGCATCACTCCATTTTCTTTCCTTCTGTCCCCGCCTTTTCTTCATGACATCTCCCTTCCTCTTCCTGTCCAGCCTTCACTCTCACTTCCATCCAATGTACCTTCACTGATTTCTGTCTATCTCTTATACATCCTTTATTTCCCTCACCCAGCTGAAGACATGGGGGCTGGTCAATGAAGGACACACCAAACACTGGTCACATCCTGACCATCTCACAGGCATTTCCACATCACTGCTACGAAATACGTGAACTGGGAGTAAAGATCGGCACAGCCAAGCAAGAGAAGCACCTTGGACGCACACAGAGTCTTGTTAACCAACACAGGACTGGCACTATTAACCGCACGACGCTGAGGAATATGTTGAGAGGGGAATCTGAGAGCCTATGGATGTGTCCGGAGTGCTGTGAAGATAATCTAACTCATAGCTCCCACAAGCTGCAAGATTCTGGTCTAACACTTTCTGCGCTGACTTTATTTATGATCTCATTCAGCCATAGTTATGGCATCATAACAGCCTGCAGGGTAGTGTATCATCAGTTTTCTTATGAAAAGAATACACAGTTAGTTAGTTAATTGGGTTATCATCGTTGCACTCCGGACATGTCCACAGTTGCTCAGATCCTCCCCTCAGTATGAACCCCAACTTCCGATGGCTAATAGTGCCAGTTCTATGTTGATTAATAAGTCTTCTGGTGTGTCTGATGTGCGTCTTACTTTTTGCTATGCCGATCTCAATTCCCAAGTCTGCCATTCTGGCGAGTGATGTTGATTCACTGCCCCCAAAGTCCTTTATCCTTCCCATTTCTCTTAGGGCATGATCCATAGGCTGACCATCGGTAGTGATAGCGGATCTAGCCAACCTATCAGCTCTTTCATGAAAAGAATACACAGCTGGAATCAAACTGAAAATGTTGTGTTTACAGGCAGATGCAAACTGCTCTTATCGACTTGTCTTTTCCCCAAGTGATGTTTGGGCTAGAAATATGTAAGCGACAGGGTTATTATACAGTGGGGCCCAAATCTCTTCCACAGTGCAACTCTTGTTCCCATGTCTGTAAACCACGAAAACACATTTCTTTCCCCTATCCACAGCAGGAAATGGACCCCATGACTTGAGGATCATGAAATTGTTGACCGCATTTGCTAGTCCCTATGCCTCAGAGCTGCACAAAATATTTTCTCACAAACCTGAGCGAGCGAGAGAGAGAGAGAGAGAGAGAGAGAGAGAGAGAGAGAGAGAGAGAGAGAGAGAATAGCTCATCTCCCTTTGACTTGCAGAGTGTTGAAATTCTCTTCCACTTACTGAGTGACTGTAATCAGCATTACAGCTTTGGCCAGTGCCCGATATGCCAGTGACTGGTGGTTGTGCTCACTGCGCAGTGTTCAGATGGGCCTGGTATAATTTTATTTACTAAACAATAGCATTTGACGTGGGTTTTTTTAGCACCTTTGGTCAAAAAGAAATTATTTGTAAATACTTTTCTGATAAATTCTGGGTTCTGGCTCGTTTTCCTTCAGGGACTGCAGGATGACAGGGTTAACATCCGTCTAGAATTAGATATGAACTGATGACCAACAGGTGGGCAAGTAAGTGTCCAAGCCACTGCGCCACTACAGCTCAAACTACTCGGAAGAAAGTAATACATCAGTGTGAAAAAAAACTGCAAATAAATAGGAACAGAACATGTGTCATCTTCAAAGCAAACATTTGATACACATCTAGGCTGCTTTCTCTCTCTCCAAGATGTTGCATCTCTCTCTCTCCAAGATGTTGCATCTCTCCCTCTCCAAGATGTTGCATCTCTCTCTCTCCAAGATGTTGCATCTCTCTCTCTCTAAGATGTTGCATCTCTCTACAAGATGTTGCATCTCTCTCTCTCTAAGATGTTGAATGTCTCTCTCTCTCCAAGATGTTGCATCTTTCTCCAAGATGTTGCATCTCTCTCCAAGATGTTGCATCTCTCTCCAAGATGTTGCATCTCTCTCTCTCTCTCTCCAAGATGTTGCATCTCTCTATCTCTCTAAGATGTTGCATCTATCTCTCTCCAAGATGTTGCATCTCTCTCCAAGATGTTGCATCTCTCTCTCTCTCTCTCCAAGATGTTGCATCTCTCTCTCTCTAAGATGTTGCATCTCTCTCCAAGATGTTGCATCTCTCTCCAAGATGTTGCATCTCTCTCCAAGATGTTGCATCTCTCTCCAAGATGTTGCATCTCTCTCCAAGATGTTGCATCTCTCTCTCTCCAAGATGTTGCATCTCTCTCTCTCCAAGATGTTCCATCTCTCTCTCTCCAAGATGTTGCATCTATCTCTCTCCAAGATGTTGCATCTCTCTCTCTCCAAGATGTTGCATCTCTCTCTCTCCAAGATGTTGCATCTCTCTCTCTCCAAGATGTAGCATCTCTCTTCAAGATGTTGCATCTCTCTCTCTCCAAGATGTTGCATCTCTCTCTCTCTAAAATGTTGCATCTCTCTCTCTCCAAGATGTTGCATCTCTCTCTCTCTCTAAGATGTTGCATCTCTCTCTCCAAGATGTTGCATCCTCTCTCTCCAAGATGTCGCAGGTTACTATCACTTATCCTATCCCTCTTTTGATGTCATCCAAAACGACATCATAATTAGACATCCACAGATTACAGGTCACAGTACACAGATCACAAATACACCCAAAAGTACACATCTATATACAGACATTTTAAATACCAAAGCCCACAACAAACCAATCCTCACCCCCCCCAAACAATTTACAGAACAAGTCTGCTTGACATTTATCCGTGGATTACACAGGATAACTGATTATCCATGGATCACACAATTCAAATCATTGTATAACTAATCACTGAAAACACACAAAAGTGTGGATAAACTTGTAAATGATTGACGGCCCTCACCTTCCACTAAGGAATGAATGCAGACTTGCCTTTCACCCGCGAATGACTCATAAATCCTCTGCCGCTTGTGAAACTGTACCCACCAGCTTGGCTCAAGGTCAGTGCATGTGATTGTAGCTTCTCTTCCTCGGTGTGACCTGGCACTCATCTCATACATTCTGAATCTCTATCACTTCAGCTCAGACACACTCACAGACATACTCCTGCCTCTAGATCAAGGCTGTGTGAATGTCTGGGGACAAAGAATCAACAAGTAGTTAGGGTGCACGTACACAAGTATGCATGTACTAACAGATGGTAGAGTCATTGTGTGTGTATGTGTGTATATATATATATATATATATATATATATATATATATAGTGTACATGTACCTAAATATGGCATGCTTATGTGTACAAACAAACGTACACTAACTGGTGGCAGGGTCACATGTACACACAAGTGTACAATGGCAGGGTCACCTGTACATACAAATGTACAAGTACTAATTTGTGGATGGGTCATGTGAAAACAATTGTACAAGTACTTACAGATGGCAGGGTCACCTGTACATACAAATGTACAAATACTAATTTGTGGCAGGGTCATGTGTACACAGAAGTGTTCTCAAACACAAGTGTACATGTACGCTCACACAAGTGTACTAGTACTCACATACAAAAGTATCTAAAAAGTTAACAGATAAGACAAACAAAAGCTCTAGCACTGGTTACAGCAGAGGTTGAAAAACCGCGGGGAAAGGGGTGGGGGATGGAGGATCAGTAGAAGAGATGTGAAAAGAAGGGCTTCAGGAGTGACCAGAGGACATCACATCTAGACTATTTAGGGATTTTCCCTCTGAAGTAAGAACACATCTGCATGAGCTCCAAGGAACCAACAGTCTGCATACAAGCAAGTGAGATCTGTAAACTGGATGTGCATGCAAAATTCAAACCAGAGACAAATGTTTCATCCTTTATCAAGCATATTGTTCATTAAATATTTATCACTTTCCATTTTTAATCACTGACTGCCAAAAAATGCTTGTTCTCACTTTTGATCTAATTACTTGTGTTTTTTAAGTCTAGGTGAAAATAGTTCTTTGTGCATTTGTTTCAGCTTTTTTTTTTTCTTAAATCAAATCTGAAAATGGATTAATTCCTTGTAAGAAGTATTGAAAAATTGGGTTTCGAGTTAAAACTTTTCAAGATAGGAACCACTGTTAGGAACGCATTAAGTTCATACGCTAGGATACCACTACAGGATGATCCCATGAAAAATGATGGGATACCACTGCGGGGTGGTCCCATGAAAAATGATGGGATACCACTGCGGGGTGGTCCCATGAAAAATGATGGGATACCACTGCGGGGTGGTCCCATGAAAAATGATGGGATACCACTGCGGGGTGGTCCCATGAAAAATGATGGGATACCACTGCGGGGTGGTCCCATGAAAAATGATGGGATACCACTGCGGGGTGGTCCCATGAAAAACACCGGGGTACCACTGCGGGGTGGTCCCATGAAAAATGATGGGATACCACTGCGGGGTGGTCCCATGAAAAACACCGGGGTACCACTGTGGGGTGGTCCCATAAAAAATGCCGGGGTACCACTGTGGGGTGGTCCCATGAAAAATGCTGGGATACCACTGCGGGGTGGTCCCATGAAAAACACTAAGGTACCATTGTGGGGTGGTCCCATGAAAAATGCATGAGTACCACTGAGGGATGGTCCCATGAGAACAGATCATTACAGTCTGAAGAGAATGGGGCTGGGAGGGGTTACCAGGGAATCTGGCTAACTCTCAACACAAAAGGAACAGGAGAGATGGATATACAAATAGACAGTTACTGGTAACATTGGAATTCTTCACCTGGTGCTGAAGATGGGGGAAGGATGCAATTATGGCAGTGTCCCAAGTGCTGTGATGTAGATTCTTAATTCAACATTCAGTAGGCTGGATTGATCTGGGGACTCATAAAACCGACCCAATGCGGATTCAACCTTTCAATCTTAACTTTAAATTCCCTGGTACTATCCACCACAGCGAGCCACACTAAAACGTTACAACGGGTGTAGAGCGAGTGGAAGACCTCGGAAAATATGAAGTGATGGCATTAAGAACAGCCTTTCAGAAATGAACATCAGTCTTAATAGTGCTCTTGACAGAGCTCATCAACGAACATGACATCTCCCCCCGACACTTCGATGAGGTTCAAGGTGGAAGAGAAGAAGAAGAATCCTAACTTTTATTACAGTTAATTCGGTTTTTTTTTTTACTATAACTAAACCCACACTAACCTTGCCCTTTTCATGTGGTGGATACACAACAACTTTGACCTTCCCTGGTCGACCTTTGATGGCCGCATAACAGAACAGGGTCACCACCATGACAAACAGGAAGTAGCTGGTCCTCATCAAGTGTAGGTTGATCACCGATCGGTCCTCCTGTAATTATAAACATGATCAGCAATGCAATATTGACTCTGTGACTATCGACTCTGCCAGGGTTTTCAAAATGTGAGACCAAATACACAAATGTAATTTTGTCAGAGCTAGTTATTTCATTCACCCCCCCCCCCCCCCCAGTTTCTCCATCTTAGCCTTTCAGTGAGAGCTATGCTGGCAGAAGCTTAAAATAGCTATTATGAGGGTCTTCCAAACTGGTCAGGTCAAAGGGTAGAGGACAGGTCAATGGTAGAGGACAGGTCAAATGGTAAAGGACAGGTCGAATGGCAGAGAGAGAACAAAGACAACCTGGTCCTCCAGGTGGTGGGAGGGTAGAGGAAGGGGGGTTAAAGCATGAAGGCCCATACCTTCACCTTTGTAAAACCTCAGGTTTGTCACAAAACATCTCAGGACAGAAAGAGAGAGAAAAGTAAGAAATGTCCGTCACAGAGATGGAACAGTAAAGTTGAGTAATGGAACATTTCCCCCCACCTTTAGGAATACTGGGCTTGATCTATATGTTACAGACAAACTGGCACTGGGTGAATGATGAGGTTAACATCCCTCTGATCACCTTAACTTTCCATTTCCAGGACTGTGCCTGGTCCCAATTTGAGGCTTAGCTCAACTGGGAGCCAAGGTCATTTCTGAAATAAAAGTCCAGCTCCATCAGGACCCGAACCCTGACCTTTGGATCTGCAGGCAAAGCATCTAGCCGCTACACCACGGTGGCTCCAGAGATGAACCGAGCCAGGTAATATCTGCAGCAATGAAATTCATTATCTGCTATGGTATCACTCTTTCCACTGTCCAAGCAACACAAACACCAAGGGCCCAGGACTGGGGAGTGACACAAATGTTTACACCAGCGGACAATGGCACATGGGGATGAAACGGCAGATATAGTAGACAAGTAACTACAACTGACAAGGTACACAATGATGCTGCTGTTGCTGTAATGGCAGATATATAACAAGTAGGTACAACTGACAAGACACATGATGATGCTGCTGTTGCTGTAATGGCAGATATATAACAAGTAGGTACAACTGACAAGACACATGATGATGCTGCTGTTGATGTAATGGCAGATATATAACAAGTAGGTACAACTGACAAGACACATGATGATGCTGCTGTTGCTGTAATGGCAGATATATAACAAGTAGGTACAACTGACAAGACACATGATGATGCTGCTGTTGCTGTAATGGCAGATATATTACCAAGTAGCTACAACTGACAAGACACATGATGATGCTGCTGTTGCTGTAATGGCAGATATATTAACAAGTAGGTACAACTGACAAGGCACATGATGATGATGAAATGGCAGATACATAAACAAGTAGCTACAACTGACAAGGCACATGATGATGATGATGATGATGAAACGGCATATACTTTTAAACAATTAGCTACAACTGACAAGGCACATGATGATGCTGTAATGGCAGAGACATGAAAAATCAGCACGACTGGCTCCCACCTGTGAGAGGAGGACCGTGAGTGAGTCGTCAAACGAGTACTCCACAGCCACGCTGGCCCCGTGTGAACACCACTTCTGGCCACTGCCGGTCAGTAAATTTGCCGACATGGACCTGACCAGACTTCCTGCATGACTGGGGGCTTCACTCGGGCAGGTGGTCGTCAACTGACCATGCCTGTTACAGAAATTAAAATCAAGAGGTAGGAAGTCAAGGGGAATGCACTACAATTTTTTCCCAGAACAAAGTTAATCTGTCATGGAGAGAACTAACAGGCCACAAAATAACTGGCCATGTAAGAGGGAGACAATCTACATTCTTTGTTCATGTCATGAGGGAACAAGTGGGGTACATCGTGACAGTGAACAAGTTGAAGGGGGAAAGTGGCGTAAATCGTAACGGTGGATAAGTTGAAGGGGGAAAGTGGAGTAAATCGTAACGGTGGGAAAGTTGAAGGGGAAAATTGGAGTAAATTGTAACGGTGGGAAAATGAAGGGGAAAAGTGGAGTAAATCGTAACGGTGGGAAAGTTGAAGGGGAAAATTGGAGTACATCGTGACGGTGGGAAAGTTGAAGGGGAAAAGTGGAGTACATCGTGACAGTGGGAAAGCTGAAGGGGAAAAGTGGAGTACATCGTGGCGGTGGGAAAGCTGAAGGGGGAAATGGGCTGAGGTGAACCAAAACCAATGTTTGACATGATGGCAGGGAAGAAGATTTATGTCAGAACTGACAAAGTACATGTGACAGAATGTTGTTTCACAGACATGACTATTAATGCCATAGGGAATGGACTAGAAGAAGAAAAACACATTTATTTTGGCCTTCACAAACGGACGAACATTCACCCAACCTAACAAAAACATTACATTTTTGTGTCAATCTTATTCATCTTAGTTTCACTGCCTCTAAACCCTGGAGGAAAGTTCTGGTTGTTCGTTAACTGCTGGACTTCAGTTTTGTTCCACAACTTGAGTTTTGCAGGTTCACCAATTTTACAGGTCTGTGTCATCTGTACGCAGATTGTTAGTTCCTTGCCTCTCAGGCAGCTGCACTCTGACTTTGACAGGATTGTTAGGGGTGGTAGTCAGTCTTTTCTTTCCTTCCCCTAAAATAGGACCCGGGAACCTACAAGGAGACAGTTCTTCACAACTCATTTGCTCCAAGAAGCCAAAAAACCCGACCATGGGGGACCAACTCCCCATAAATGTGACTTCTCCTTTTTGTCAACCTTGAACTGTTTAATGAGACGCTTAGGTAATGCTACTGACTGGGTTTTTTTCTGCACCTGCACATATATTTAGGAGGTTAGGGTATGACTATATTAACTTAAAAAAGCATCTGGATGTTGGGGGAAGGGGGGTGGAATAAAAAAAATGAAGCCATGGAATGAACGCAGAGAGAGTTAAAAGTTCTCCATTAACTGGACAAATAAAAATCACAGACATTTAAGTTTACCGAGCTCGAGGCAGCAGAGAGGCCGGTCCCGAGAAAGTCACACAGGCATTGATGAGGTACATCAGGCAGACACTGCCCCGTTTCTGCATGCAGTTATCTTCACTGTTGCTGGTTGGGAAACTCACCGTCATGACGATATTCTGCTCGGCCCGTTTACCTGGAGGGTGATAACATGCATGACTTTAAGTATGACATTTATGACTTTTAAGTACGACATTTATGACCTTTAAGTAAAATATTTATGACTTTAACTCTTTCAGCCCCAAACCACTCACCATGCGTTTCTGGATCAGAGCAAAGATAATATAACTGACCATCTGTCTTCTGTCGCAGAAGAATGTTATAGCATTCCTAATTGTCTAGATTTCTAGTTCAAATTCTTGTGTTTTATAGTGTATGCTTAACTCCTCAGGGCCAAAATATTTACTGCTTTCTAAGATGAACACTTTGGGGTAGAAGGAGTTAAAGTAACAACAAGCATGGGACTGAAAGAGTTTACTTTAAGTATAACATGTACGACTATTTATGACATTAAGTAAAACATTTATGACTGAGAATAACAATTACAACTTCAAGTTTAATATTCATAACTAAGTATAAGATGTATGACTTTAAGTATAAATTTATGAATTTATGTATAACATTTATAAGCATAAGATGTATTACTTTAAGTATAATGATTATTACTATTTAAGTAAAACATTTGTGACTAAGCATAACAGTTTATGGCTTTCAGTAAAACATCTGTGACATACGTAAAACCATTGTGACTTTAAGTTAAACAGTGAAACTTGTCAAGCATTGAAAGAGCTACCATTTAACACAGAAGCGACCTGCTTTACTTCAAATTAATTTCTAACGGGATGTGACACTACAACTCCATTGATTTAGAAAGTACATCTTGTACAGCTTGCTGTTCTTCAGAGTGGCCATCTGGATTTCATGGGCTGACTAGGTTACATACGGCCACAGGTGAGAATGACTATGTGGTCGTGAGTTGATCTGATGGGATGGACAGGTAAAATCACAACCTAAATAAGGTTACATCAATGACCACATTTGTCTGATCGTAGGATTATGCCTCTTCATGTTAACTGAGGAAAGTAGACTCTAAGAGCTACCAAATCCTATCGTGAAAAATTATGTGGAAACGTTGGAGATGTGGTTTTATAGACGAATGATGAGAACACCATAGACATTTGAAAACGTCTTGAAAGAAGTCAACACACAAAGAAAACTGGTTAATAGCATCTGAACAATAAAGACAATCTACATTCTGCAGTCATGTCATGAGACGAAAACTGTGATGGTGGGAGAGTTATAAGAGAACAAGGTCATAGAGACTAGGAAAGAAGAAACGGACATCTGACATCATGGCATGGAAGACCATCTTCTTCTTCTTCGTCACGTTCATGGACTGTAAATTCTGGCTGAAAGTTCTGGTTGTTCGCCGACCTTTGGACTTTACTAACGTCCCAGAACCTGAGTGTTGTGTGCATGTGTTTTACAGATCTGACAAATCTGAATGCAGACTTTTGGTTCACTGCCTCAGGCAGATGCACTCATATTCCAAAGAAAGCCCCTGATTAGTCGACATAACATGTATGTTGGGGAGACAGTGGGTCTATTTATGTTTTCCCCACGGTGGGTCACCGGAAGCCACAGTGGGTCACCGGAAGCCATAAAGGGAATGGAAGATCATATAAAGACAAAGAAGAATCAGCAGAAGAGAAAGGAAGATGGGGAGAAAGTCCAGAAAGTGAAACATCAACAAGCTCCTGTCTCACCTTTCATGCTCAGCAGGGAGCCAGAGACTTCAGTGATCAGGTAGACTGATTTGAAATTTGAGGTCACGAACTCATGGTTGGGTACAAACTCAATGTTCAGGTGAAATGTTTCATTTCTGTAGAGTAGGAACAAGAACAGGATGACAAACCCAACACATGTTGACATAAATATGTAACACTGCAACACAGACACATAAATAAGCATGCTTCTTCTTCTGTGTTCACCCTTAGAAGGGCGACTGGCAGGTTGTTTTGTGGTCTACAGCAAGGCTGTGATATCTGCACCTTTCAGCAAACCATTAGTAGTTGACTTTATTACATGCTTGCTTTTTTATAGGGGAGAGGGGGGGGGGGGCAGTGGGTCTGTTCTACCCCACCCCCTTCCCCCTCCTAGAGAAACCTACTCAAGGAAAATAGCCAATGATTATTTATATTATTTTGTATAATTCGTAAATTTAAGGTTTGAGGTTTGAACAACGGATCAACATCATGGCACAGGGGTAGTAACTCATAAATGCTCTGTTCTTCTTCTAACTCAAGTCTAAGTCCCAAGAAGCTCAGCACAGCACACAGGCTCTGTAGCACCGGCGAGGATCCTAAAATACTCAAACTGTAAGAATCTGTAAGTGGCAGTACAAGACCGGACACCTCACAGAGGCAGCTATTCAACAGCACAAATCATATTTTGAAGATGGTTACAGAGAATTGACACACCGGAGAGGGATGGTTACAGAGAATCCACACACTGGAGAGGGATGGTTACAGAGAATTGACACACCGGAGAGGGATGGTTACAGAGAATCCACACACCGGAGAGGGATGGTTACAGAGAATTGACACACTGGAGAGGGATGGTTACAGAGAATCGACACACCGGTGAGGGATGGTTACAGAGAATTGACACACTGGAGAGGGATGGTTACAGAGAATTGACACACCGGAGAGGGATGGTTACAGAGAATCGACACACCGGTGAGGGATGGTTACAGAGAATTGACACACTGGAGAGGGATGGTTACAGAGAATTGACACACCGGTGAGGGATGGTTACAGAGAATTGACACACTGGAGAGGGATGGTTACAGAGAATTGACACACCGGTGAGGGATGGTTACAGAGAATTGACACACCGGAGAGGGATGGTTACAGAGAATTGACACACCGGTGAGGGATGGTTACAGAGAATTGACACACCGGAGAGGGATGGTTACAGAGAATTGACACACTGGAGAGGGATGGTTACAGAGAATTGACACACTGGAGAGGGATGGTTACAGAGAATTGACACACCGGTGAGGGATGGTTACAGAGAATTGACACACCGGAGAGGGATGGTTACAGAGAATTGACACACCGGAGAGGGATGGTTACAGAGAATTGACACACTGGAGAGGGATGGTTACAGAGAATTGACACACTGGAGAGGGATGGTTACAGAGAATTGACACACCGGAGAGGGATGGTTACAGAGAATTGACACACCGGTGAGGGATGGTTACAGAGAATTGACACACCGGTGAGGGATGGTTACAGAGAATTGACACACCGGTGAGGGATGGTTACAGAGAATTGACACACCGGAGAGGGATGGTTACAGAGAATTGACACACCGGAGAGGGATGGTTACAGAGAATTGACACACTGGAGAGGGATGGTTACAGAGAATTGACACACCGGTGAGGGATGGTTACAGAGAATTGACACACCGGAGAGGGATGGTTACAGAGAATTGACACACCGGTGAGGGATGGTTACAGAGAATTGACACACCGGAGAGGGATGGTTACAGAGAATTGACACACCGGAGAGGGATGGTTACAGAGAATTGACACACCGGTGAGGGATGGTTACAGAGAATTGACACACCGGAGAGGGATGGTTACAGAGAATTGACACACTGGAGAGGGATGGTTACAGAGAATTGACACACTGGAGAGGGATGGTTACAGAGAATTGACACACCGGTGAGGGATGGTTACAGAGAATTGACACACCGGAGAGGGATGGTTACAGAGAATTGACACACTGGAGAGGGATGGTTACAGAGAATTGACACACCGGTGAGGGATGGTTACAGAGAATCCACACACTGGAGAGGGATGGTTACAGAGAATCCACACACTGGAGAGGGATGGTTACAGAGAATCCACAAACCGGAGAGGGATGGTTACAGAGAATCCACACACCCGAGAGGGATGGTTACAGAGAATCCACACACTGGAGAGGGATGGTTTCAGAGAATCCACACACCGGAGAGGGATGGTTACAGAGAATCCACACACTGGAGAGGGATGGTTACAGAGAATCCACAAACCGGAGAGGGATGGTTACAGAGAATCCACACACTGGAGAGGGATGGTTACAAAGAATCCACACACTGGAGAGGGATGGTTACAGAGAATCCACACACCAGAGGGGGATGGTTACAGAGAATCCACACACCTGAGAGGGATGGTTACAGAGAATCCACACACCCGAGAGGGATGGTTACAGAGAATCCACACACTGGAGAGGGATGGTTTCAGAGAATCCACACACCGGAGAGGGATGGTTACAGAGAATCCACACACCGGAGAGGGATGGTTACAGAGAATCCACACACTGGAGAGGGATGGTTACAGAGAATCCACACACCGGAGAGGAATGGTTACAGAGAATCCACACACCGGAGAGGGAGGCGGGGGGGGGGGGTAATAGAGGCTCCAGAAGATATTTAACACTGAGGATGAAACAGGCTGAGTTTTAATCGGGTTGCACCTGTTACTATTAGCATGCTGACTCTTCACTGGCTGCTCAAGAAGGGGATGGAGCATGTGTGGGAATGTCCCGAGTGCAGGAATATCAATGATTCATTTATTCACCCACTGAAGACGAGCACAATTTTTTTGGGTGGGGCAGGGACCATTCTGGATTCTGACCTTTTTTCTGCCAAGGTTTGCTGGGGTGAAAAGGTCTGTAGCAGCATCAACAACAACATTATAAACAACACAGCAGAAACAGTTTCAGCAACAGCAGCCTGTAATAGCAACAACACAGCAGAAACAGTTTCAGCAACAGCAGCCTGTAATAGCAACAACACAGCTACTTACATCCGGCCATCTCTGGATCCAGGATCCATCACTTGGGCCCAGGTGGTGTCATCTATTGGTGAGGGTGGGTCTGTCCTCTCTTTGGGGTCCAAGGACACACGCAGACCTCCTGTCAAAGGTTGATCTTCTGACAATGTCCGCGTGGACACACTCAAAGCCTCCGGAACTTTACCAACAACTAACTTGTCCTTGATGCTTTCCAGTGCATCGGCCGGACTCAGGTCTCCAACTTTCACCGCAGGTGTGCTCCAGTTGTGCGAGGTGGTGTTGTGGGAGACACAGAACTTCAGATGGGACAGCTTCTCCAGGAATGTGTTCCAATCCTGAGCAATCAAATAAGAAAATCTCTCACAATTGTTCATAGTGTCTTTAATTACACTCCTGAAGACTTCAGATTTCCACTATTTTTCTTAATGAACAGACTCCACATATGGGACCCCAGTTTGGAGGGAAATATGGGACCCCAGTTTGGAGGGGGTTATGGGACCCCAGTCTGGAGAGGAAATAAAGAACATATCCACACCTCCTTAACAAAAGGTGACCAATCAAGGGTTTGCGGGGTCAAAAGGTGCGGATATTGCAGCCTAGCTTTGAACCACAGAACAGTGTGTCAAGTGCACATTAAAGAGCAAATGAGTCAATAATAAACTAAACAATCCATTAACTGGTATCTTGTGTAGAATATAGGGAACTAAATGCTAAATCCCTAATGCTGAGTAGTTGAAAGCAATTCTAGCAAATTTATACGCAGGGCAACAGCTAAGGAAAAGACAATGGCAGTGGATAGGACATAAACTGAGAAAATATGATAATAGTCTAATATAATCTTTCTGCACTGGAACCCACAGGGCATTAGAAAAACAGGGAGACCAAATGACCAAGGTAGAAGAGAATCACAGTCAGGGAGATAGGAAGTGAGCTGTTGGGATGGCAGTGGATGGGAATACTCAGAGTCAGCTGGTTGAGGGTTTAAACACTATTGCAGGATCATCATCGTGTGCCCTGCCAACTGGCATAGGCACTCGTGAGTTTCCACAGATTACAATCCCTGGTTGCCTGGAACAGCTCTCTTGATGCATATACCCCAGTGCCATAGTTTCAGCCCATCCAGCATCATCTCTCTTTGCCTCTCCCCCTTTTTCCACTGATCTTTCCAGTTGTCACAATGTTCTCCAATGTCTCTCTTCTCATTATGTGGCCAAAGAACCGTGTTTGTCTCTTTCTTATTGTTGTATATAGAGATCTACTTTCATTAGTTTCTTCACTAAGCAGAAAAAAAAGAAAGAATTGCCATCACAGCACTCAGGAAATACGTCAAGCCGCCTGTCCTCCTCTTCAGCAGACAAGAGTTCCAGCGCAGATGATACCAGCAGAAATTGGATTAAATGGGCTGCCTGCCTTGCTTTTCTTCTGAGTGTCGAGTATCAGTCAGATCATCTGCTGCATCAATTCTTTTTAAACCATAATGAATAATTCATGCACTGCTGCCTTGGACACATCTAGCTTGTCATGTATCAATTAATTCACCACCCACTGGCGCAGCACCAGCAAATCTGTCTGTCTGTTAATTACCCAATACACCGGCAGCCTCAGAGAAAGGAATGCTAACTAGCAGGGACGTCTTGAGTGATGTTTACCGCTGGCTTTTCTCCAGACACTGTGAGTCTGTTACAGAAACATTTCAGTGGTGATGTTTACCGCTGGCCTTTCTCCATACACTGTGAGAGTTTGTTACAGAAACATTTCAGTGGTGATGTTTATCGCTGGCCTTTCTCCATACACTGAGTCTGTTACAGAAACATTTCAGTGGTGATGTTTATCGCTGGCCTTTCTCCATACACTGTGAGTCTGTTACAGAAACATTTCAGTGGTGATGTTTACCGCTGGCCTTTCTCCATACACTGTGAGAGTTTGTTACAGAAACATTTCAGTGGTGATGTTTACCGCTGGCCTTTCTCCATACACTGTGAGAGTTTGTTATAGAAACATTCCAGTGGTGATGTTTACAGCTGGCCTTTCTCCATACACTGTGTGAGTCTGTGACAGAAACATTTCAGTGGTGATGTATACCGCATGCTGTGAAAAAGTGTCAAACTGCTTTGTAGAATCTGTGCTGTTATATTCACGTGAAACATGGGCGATAAACAAACAAACTGAGAAACACTTTTTTCATTGCAGAGATGTGGTTTCCGAGAAGAATGCAAAAGGAAAGCAGAGACAAAATACCTGGAAGGCTTGGTAAGATGGATGGAGTAGGACAAAAACATTGAACTGATCTGTGATTCTGGTGATCATATCAAATTGTTTGTTTGTTTTAGTATCCAGAAGCCATGAGTTATTAACCCTTAGGCTCGGTATTATGGATATCGCAACCTTTTGGCCTTGATTCCATGTGGCTTTTCTGTCTACCCCCAGGAATGAACCCAGATCACAAGGAGTTCGTCACCCGGTCACTGCGCAATCCGGTTTAGCCAACTACGCTAGAGAGCCAGGCAAAGTATCAAATAGTAAAACGGATTAGAATATGCTAATGACACAGTAAAAGAAATTGTGTGAAGGATTGATAATAAATTACAATTACAAATTAAATTACAATTTTAAAAAACACAATATCACTATGTGACTAACCTCGGTAACATCTGGGTTGGGTAAGTCTCTGGTCTTGACAATATATGCAAATGTGATGAGAGCAATGGCAAATGATGCCAGACATATCATAAACACAACCAGGGGCGGGCGACTGTTAAAGAAGCCTCGTAGGTTTTCCACGATGATGAACGTCATGTTGTTTTAATCTACCAGGAGAAATATTGTGGAGCAAAAGTTAGAGCAAGAAGAACAGGCACAAACATTCATTCCGAGGGTTTTTGGATATCCTCCGAATAACGGTCCCAAATTATCAAGGCCGAAAATATACCCTCAGTCACGTGTCAATTGCGAACTTCCGGCGACTTAAATTGCACATTTCCGCCACCGCCGAGAGTATCCCCCACGCTGTAAATGGGCTTAAACTAGATGGCTGGGACTCACGAGCAGCAGCTAAAGCATATCCTGCAGCTTCCTTCATTTTATTTGCTGGTGACTCCCAGCCATCTAGTTTAGCCCCAATCCATGCTGCGTGAGCGGCATGGGGGATACTATCGGCGGTGGAGGTATAGTCCCCGGAAGTCCGCAATTCAAGGGTGGCGGTATAGTCCCTGGAAGTGCGCATCTGACACATGACTGAGGCCATGTTAGGGTATATTTTCGGCCTCTATAATTTGAGACCGTTATTCGGAGGATAGCCGGCTTTTTTTAATTCTTCCTCTTTGGTCAAAAACTGTCACTATTGTCTGTATGTACCAAACTGTCACTACTGTTTGTATGTACCAAACTGTCACTACTGTCTGTATGTACCAAACTGTCACTACTGTTTGTATGTACCAAACTGTCACTACTGTCTGTATGTACCAAACTGTCACTACTGTCTGTATGTACCAAACTGTCACTACTGTCTGTATGTACCAAACTGTCACTACTGTTTGTATGTACCAAACTGTCACTACTGTCTGTATGTACCAAACTGTCACTACTGTCTGTATGTACCAAACTGTCACTACTGTCTGTATGTACCAAACTGTTACTACTGTCTGTCTATACCAAACTGTCACTACCGTCTGTCTGTACCAAACTGTCACTACTGTATGTACCAAACTGTCCCTTCTGTCTGTATGTACCAAACTGTCACTACTGTCTGTATGCACCAAACTGTCACTACTGTCTGTATGTACCACTTTTTAGGGTGGTTTAGATAGGAGGTCATGAACCTGAGGATTGAGGCGCACATGGCTACTGCTGTCGCCACAGAATGTACAAGTTGGAATGTTTAATTTTAAAATTTGCTTTTAAAACAGTGGACAACACACTGTGTTGTGGTTTACAGCTAGGCTGCATTATCTGCACAATGCATCTTACTTCAGCAAATCTCTAAGAATGTTTTCATGTTGCAAATGTAAAAAATATGGACATGAAACAATATATTGCACAACTTAGATTGTTTCCCTTCTGGTAGTAGCAGTGAAAAAGGTACCCTGTCTAGACTTGAGAAGGACGTCTCGTTAACTTCCAAATGCTGTCTACTGTCTTTGGTCGCTATGATGTGGACAGTACAGCGAAGCTGATCCTTATCTGAGTAATCTTTCCTAGTAAATCAAACGGAAATAGTTCTGAAATACTGAAATGAAATGCCACTGTTACAGTAACAGTAGACACAGAGTTAAAAAATCTCCGTAAGTTATATCAAAATAGTTACCAAAAATGAGAACCCATGTATTACAAGTGAAAAGAATGTGTAATCTTGATGAGTGGTTTAAGAAGTCTCCATTAATTAATTTAATAGTAATAGTTTTATTTTTGTGAGTGCCCCTCTTTCTTTCTGGGTGCCCCCTTGTGTTTATCATCTGGAAAGTGGTACCTAATGTTTCGTCAGGATACGACTGTCACCCCAAAAATCATCGCTGCGTGATTAAATAATCATCAAATCTTTCATAACATATGAAAATGCACTTACTAAATGTGTAAAGAACGTATTATAAGGTTAAATCTCCAGATTTGTGAAAGTTTCCTGCAGCCAATGGTCTCCAACAAGCCGCCATGCCAGTGTCGTCTGCTCTCCTGTCTTCTCGCGAGTAGTCGCGAGATTCACGTCACCTGGGGGCCCTCCGCTTGTTGACTGTATCCGCCTCATTAGCATTCGGGCCACGCCTCTTAACCGCTGACCTGTGAACCTGCCTGTGAACAGAGAAAGAGAGAAGAGAGAGAGAGAGAGAGAGAGAGAGAGAGAGAGAGAGAGAGAGAGAGAGAGAGACAGACAGACACACAGACAGACACACAGACAGACACAGAGAGAGAGAGGGAGTTAAAGATATAGGGAGAAAAAGAGAGTGTCAATAGTTGTTGCTTCTGTCCTTCAGTGACTCGGAAATATTTCGCTTCTGTCCTTCAATGACTGGAAGATGTTTTCCGTTATGTCCTTCGGTGACTGAAATCTTTCCATTTTGTCCTTAAGTGACTGAAATCTTTTCATTCTGTCCTTCATTGACTGTGAAATCTTTCCATTCTGTCCTTCGGTGACTGGGAAATCTTTCCATTTTGTCCTTCAGTGACTGTGAAATCTTTCCATTCTGTCCTTCATTACTGTGAAATCTTTCCATTCTGTCCTTCGGTGACTGGGAAATCGTTCCATTTTGTCCTTCGGTGACTGAAATCTTTCCATTCTGTCCTTCAGTGACTGTTAAATACTTCCATTCTGTCCTTCATTGACTATGAAATCTTTCCATTCTGTCCTTCGGTGACTGGGAAATCTTTCCAAGTTGTCCTTCAGTGACTGTGAAATCTATATCTTTTGTCCTTCAGCGACTGTGAAATCTTTCCATTCTGTCCTTTCGTGACTTGTAGATCTTTTTATTTTGTCCTTCAGTTACCGTGAGATCTTTCCATTCTCTCTTTCAGTGACTGTGAGATCTTTCCATGCTGTCCTTCGGTGAAAATTTCAGGTTCTTTGTCAACTTGTAGATTTTAGTCTTGTTTTAGAACTTGATTTTGCGTGCATACCCGTTTTACATATCTGGCTTATTTGTGAGCAGACTGTTGGCTCTTTGCCTGTCAAGTAGATGTATACCGACTTCGAAAGAAACCCCTAATTATTCGACTCCAACGTCATGCTTGTCCGGAAGGCAGAACACCCACCCCCCCACCACCCCCCCTTTTCCCCCAATAAAACACTGGCATCCACACGGGAAAGACGTGCACTGTATATAAATTGTCTCTGAAAGTTTTTGTACATTTCATATTTTTACGAGGAGCCTCATGGTGAGGGGTTAAAATAAGGGGGGGGGGGGGTGGGAGGTTGAGGAACCAGTGAGCATAGTTCCTATGTGAAAAAACTTCACACATATTTTGTCGATAATCCGCGACCTCAGTCGCTGTTGTTTTTAGCCTGGTTTACTAACTGTTATTTCAAGCCATAACACAACCAAGCCCTACTGTACACTGGTAATTAGGGAATGCAGGTATTGCTGATGATTCCTGTTGTCATTTCTACTCACGTGTAGTCGGTGGGAAATGAGCCGTTTAACAAGAAAGAGCTTACAGTCCCCCCCCCCTCCCCCAACCTCAAACAAAAGGGGGAATGGAGACCCGAAGGGGCTGAGCTGCCAGGTTGTGGTGCAGAGGAAAAAGGAGGAGGGCACCAAATATGACACATTCTGGCAAACCATTTGGCTAGAATAAACGACAGTGACATTTATACAAGAGACAGCACTGGTGATATAGACAACTTATGTCAGGCGAACTGGAAAAACAACTTACCTTAAAAAAAATGCAGCTCTTCAAACACGCCAGGTAGTGAGTGGCAATTAAGTGTTAGGAAAGTGGGTTTATTCTTCCTCCCAAAAATAGGACCCCGGTACCAACGTGAAGAGCGCATCAAACATTTCTCTCTTTCCTTCACCCTAGTCACCCAAGTTTCTGAAGAGTTGTCCTCCCCCACGCCAGTCATTTACTGGCAGACAAGTTTCTGGGGCAGTGGATCTATTCTTCTTCCTCAAAATGAGCCCCAGCCCACCCATTCTCCTGCAAGGACCCACACGGCTGGTGCAACATAGTCTCTCTCTCTTTCACTTCAGCGACGCGCGGTTCTGGACAGTCGTCCTCACCCAGTCCCGTCAAAAACGGGGGAAACACGTAACTCCTTTCCGTCGCGGAAGTATCTCATTATCATATGTCGTTGCTCCGACCGCTAGTCGGGACCGCTGATTGGCCAGCCCACCACAACACAGCTGTCAATCACCAGCCACGTGTTCCAGGTCGGGCATGTTTTGGTTCTTCCCCAGACCGCCATGTTTTAGCCCGGCTCCTCGTCGCCTCCAGACGCTAACTTCGCCACTTTCTGGCCAAAAATCCTGGACCTCTGTGCTGCTACTACACCAACGCTGCTTCTCTGAAGGCGTAGGTTCAATCCCCAAAACAGGAGATTCACCAAGGATGGATTTACTGCTGCAAGCCGCTCGGGTTTTAGAGCTGGAGAACTCCGGCCATGATGTCACCGAGCCAGCCACACGTGGTGAGTTCAAGTCCCTTCCATCCATGGCCGCTTCTCTTGCTTCTTATTCTGTTTATTTCAGTGTTTTATGTTGGGTACCGCGGTGTACAAACTCCCCTGTGGTTGTGGCTATTGATTATACCCTGCTGGCTTGGGCGACGATGTTACCCCATAACTTCCGGTTTCCCTGTCCCGTTAAGAATTTGTTGATGTATTGGCCTGCCTGCAGTGACAGGCTGGGGATCGATCCCAAGCTAACAGGATTTGGTCCAGCCACTACGGCTTTCAGGTCGACCAGCCTTAGATGGGTAGCAATTAAATGCTCTGGGAAGTAAAGTCGGCCGGCATGATGTTGACCACATCACCCAGCGAGAAACGATTTTTCTGACATTGGGTAAAAACAATTTAAAGTAAAGGTTTTTGTTTTTGAACTACGGCTCTGGGGGAGTTGTGGTAGCTCACTGGCCAGTAATCTGTCAGCAGAACTTGGTTCGAATATGCTGGGGTTGCCCACATAATAGATACAATGAAATCACATGGGAGAAAAGGCAGCCAACCTAGTGCTGACTACTGTACTGTACCCAATGATTGCTCTGTACACAAGGGTTTAACGCCATTAGCAGTGATGTGAGCCTAAGGATGTCAGCAGGGGGTGCCCACTTGGATCTGCTGTTATTGAATTTAAGTGATAACATTCCCCTTTTGGATTCCAGAGCCCCATTTAGGGAGAAAAAGAATCAATCCCCCCACCCCAAACAGTGAATGACACTTTTTCCCCTCACCTTCAGATGTATTGGGCATATAGGGCTAGATGTATTTTTTATGGACCAGTCGGCATTCTATGGGTGATGTGGTTAACATCTTGTGGTCCGCCTTTACTTTCCAGGACTCTACCTGGTACCCATTTAAGGCTGGGTCAACCTGTAAGCCAAGGTCTTTTTGTGAAAAATTACTGGCTTGTTCAGGACTTGAACTCATGTCCAGCCACTTCACCAACATGCCTCCACCCACTTCACCAACATGCCTCCACCCACTTCACCAACATGCCTCCACCCACTTCACCAACATGCCTCCACCCACTTCACCAACATGCCTCCACCCACTTTACCAACATGCCTCCACCCACTTCACCAACATGCCTCCATCCACTTCACCACCATGCCTCCATCCACTTCACCAACATGCCTCCACCCCCTAAACAAGCAAGTTGTAAAAGGCTTGATTGTGAGTGTTTCCTTCTATTTAGACTGCATATACATGAGAGGTGATGGACCAACAGTCTGCAAAAGAATAAGCCACAGTTATAAAACGAAGTGCATGGAAAACTCTGAGAAAAGTTCTTAAGCAAGACTAAATCCAAAAGTGGTCAACAATCCAGAATGTTTTACCCAAATTTATATCCAGTGATTGCTAAGGAGAAGTGGAAAGTGGTGTCCCTGGGTTTCTGTCTTACAGAAGTGATGATCTCTTGCAGGTCATGCCAGGCAATATTTCATTGTTTGCCTTCTGCGTGTTGTCTTCAGGTACCAGATGGCAGTTTATTGTGTTTGTTGTTGTCCATACTGTGTATAAAGTCTTGTGTTATATACTCTCCAAGGTAAAATGACTCTGTAGAAAGTCTTTATCCCTGTTCTGTGTGGGGAGACTTGTACTACGTGGAAAGTCTTGTTCCATAGTGCTTGAAACAAGTATTCTGTGCTGTGTGGAAAGTCTTTTTCAATAGTGCTTGAGACAAGTCTTCTGTACTTTGTGGAAAGTCTCGTTCAGTAGTGCTTTAGACAAGTCTTCTGTACTATGTGGAAAGTCTTGTTCAATAGTGCTTGAGACAAGTCTTCTGTACTGTGTGGAAAGTCTTGTTCAATAGTGCTTGAGACAAGTCTTCTGTACTATGTGGAAAGTCTTCTTCAAATAGTGCTTGAGACAAGTCTTCTGTACTATGTGGAAAGTCTTGTTCAATAGTGCTTGAGACAAGTCTTCTGTACTGTGTGGAAAGTCTTGTTCAATAGTGCTTGAGACAAGTCTTCTGTACTATGTGGACAGTCTTGTTCAATAGTGCTTGAGACAAGTCTTCTGTACTGTGTGGAAAGTCTTCTTCAAATAGTGCTTGAGACAAGTCTTCTGTACTGTGTGGAAAGTCTTGTTCAATAGTGCTTGAGACAAGTCTTCTGTACTATGTGGAAAGACTTGTTCAATAGTGCTTGAGACAAGTCTTCTGTACTATGTGCAAAGTCTTGTTCAATAGTGCTTGAGACAAGTCTTCTGTACTATGTGGAAAGTCTTGTTCAATAGTGCCTGAGACAAGTCTACTGTCCTATGTGGAAAGTCTTGTTCAGTAGTGCTTGAGACAAGTCTTCTGTACTATGTGGAAAGTCTTGTTCAATAGTGCTTGAGACAAGTCTTCTGTACTATGTGGAATGTCTTCTTCAAATAGTGCTTGAGACAAGTCTTCTGTACTATGTGGAAAGTCTTCTTCAAATAGTGCTTGAGACAAGTCTTCTGTACTATGTGGAAAGTCTTGTTCAATAGTGCTTGAGACAAGTCTTCTGTACTATGTGGAAAGTCTTGTTCAATAGTGCTTGAGACAAGACTTCTGTACTATGTGGACAGTCTTGTTCAATAGTGCTTGAGACAAGTCTTCTGTACTTTGTGGAAAGTCTTGTTTAGTAGTGCTTGGGACAAGTCTTCTGTACTATGTGGAAAGTCTTGTTCAATAGTGCTTGAGACAAGTCTTCTGTACTGTGTGGAAAGTCTTGTTCAATAGTGCTTGAGACAAGTCTTTGTTCCAATGTGGAAAGTCTTTGTTCCATAGTGCTTGAGACAAGTCTTCTGTACTATGTGGAAAGTCTTGTTCAATAGTGCTTGAGACAAGTCTTCTGTACTGTGTGGGGAAAGTCTTGTTCAATAGTGCTTGAGACAAGTCTTTGTTCCAATGTGGAAAGTCTTTGTTCCATAGTGCTTGAGACAAGTCTTCTGTACTATGTGGAAAGTCTTGTTCAGTAGTGCTTGAGACAAGTCTTCTGTACTGTGTGGGGAAAGTCTTGTTCAATAGTGCTTGAGACAAGTCTTCTGTACTATGTGGAAAGTCTTCTTCAAATAGTGCTTGAGACAAGTCTTCTGTACTGTGTGTGGAAAGTCTTGTTCAGTTGTGCTTAAGACAAGTCTTCTGTACTGTGTGGAAAGTCTTGTTCAGTAGTGCTTGAGACAAGTCTTCTGTACTGTGTGTGGAAAGTCTTGTTCAGTTGTGCTTAAGACAAGTCTTCTGTACTGTGTGGAAAGTCTTGTTCAGTTGTGCTTAAGACAAGTCTTCTGTACTGTGTGGAAAGTCTTGTTCAGTAGTGCTTGAGACAAGCCTTCTGTACTTTGTGGAAAGTCTTGTTCAGTAGTGCTTGAGACAAGTCTTCTGTACTTTGTGGAAAGTCTTGCTCAGTAGTGCTTGAGACTAGTCTGTTGTACTGTGTGGAAAGTCTTGTTCAGTTGTGCTTGAGACAAGTCTTCTGTACTTTGTGGAAAGTCTTGCTCAGTAGTGCTTGAGACTAGTCTGTTGTACTGTGTGGAAAGTCTTGTTCAGTTGTGCTTGAGACAAGTCTTCTGTACTATGTGGAAAGTCTTGTTCAATAGTGCTCTGAGACAGGTCTCATGTACTATGTGGAAAGTCTTGTTCAGTTGTGCTTGAGACAAGTCTTCTGTACTGTCGGGAAAGTCTTGTTCAGTTGTGCCTGAGACAAGTCTTCTGTACTATGTGGAAAGTCTTGTTCAGTAGTGCCTGAGACAAGTCTTCTGTACTGTGTGGGGAAAGTCTTGTTCAGTTGTGCCTGAGACAAGTCTTCTGAACTATGTGGGGAAAGTCTTGTTCAGTAGTGCTTGAGACAAGTCTTCTGTACTATGTGGAAAGTCTTGTTCAGTAGTGCTTGTGACAAGTCTTCTGTAGTCTGTGTAAAGTCTTGTTTAATAGTGCCTGAGATAAATCTTTTGTACTGTGTGGGGAAAGTCTTGTTCAGCTGTGCTTGAGACAAGTCTTCTGTAGTCTGTGTAAAGTCTTATTTAATAGTGCCTGAGATAAATCTTTTGTTCTGTATGGAAAGTCTTGTTCACTAGTGCTTGAGACAAGTCTTTTGTACTATGCGTACAGTCTAGTTCTTTACTTTGTATACAAAGTCCTGTTTATTTTAAAATCTAAAGATTTATGTGGAAAGTCTTGTTCTAAACTTTGTATAAAAAGCACAATTCTTTACTCTGAATGCAAATTCTTATGCTAAGGTCCATATTGAAAAACTTATTCTACATTGTCAAAAGTATGTTTATACAATGTCTCTATGAAGTCTTTTTTAAATTTCTTTGGCCAAAATTTTTTTTTGACTTATATTTAAAAAGATGTACATGATTTTTTCACACCAGTGACATATTCGGCATACAATGCTGGTTAAGGTTAGTTGTGTATCCTTTATAGGACGTTGCAGAAACAGTCCCAGCAATTGTTTGGCTGTTGTGGTTTTTCTAGGCATGTTTCACGTTAAGTAGGTTGCCATTGTTTTTCTGAACGGTCAGCTGTTGGTACCACTGTCAAAACCAATACAAGAGGTATGCTCCAAAATTGCTTGCAGCTGGAATTGAACCCCGCATTACGAAGCACGTTCACAATTCCTAAGCCACATGCCTGTTTGTAAAGCCCAGTTGATGGGTGATGTGGTTAACATCCTGCTGGCTTCCTTTACTTCCCATGACATTTCCTGGTACCCATTTTAGGCTGTGTTACCCTGGAAGTCAATCCCCTTCCCCAGATCTGGCTGGCGCAGATGTGAACCTTTGTGCTGGTAGCTCCCCGCTTATTTTAACATTACTTATAATTATGGAGCTAAAGTATACTGTTTGAAATAAAATGTATAATTATCTGGTGCCACATTTTTACCAGTTGACAGGAAAGCCCATACACCTAAAAACTGTCAGTGAACTAGATGCAGAAGAACTGTCAGCTGATTGGTTGAGTTCTAATGTATTCTTGTATGCAGTGTGAACAATGTCGTTTACTAAATTATGGCAAAATTGTGTTCCTAACAGTAGCTCTGCAGTTTTGTGTGTGTGCGTGTGTTTTGTTTTAGAACTGAGAATAAATCTTTTCCTCTTTGGCTGTAACTTTTTTCAGGAACTTACTTTTCCCAAAATATTACTGAAAGCAGTGAGCAATTAGACGGGTCGCAGGCGTACAGTGATAATGGGATCAGTGCTGGTGAAGACGATGTCCCCTTGCACGAGAGGACATCAAGACGGGCTGGAGGGTAAGTGATGATGATATCCAGGGATTCTTTGTCTGAGAATGTGTGGCAGTGGTAAACAGCCATGCTAAGGAAAAGTTTAGACAAGAGTCAATGAATTAAAGTTTCTGTTAAACCTCTACAAATGTATCCATTCAGGTTCTTACTTAAATTTAAGTATTCTAGATCAGTTCTGTTGATGTTAATTTATGTTGTTTTGTCAGATTATTTTTCCTCCTCTTTCTTCTTCTTCTTCTTCTTCAGGAATGCCCTTAAGGTTAATTGCTCAAGATATTGTCTGCCTCCATTCATCTCTGTGATTGATATTCTCTTTTTACCAGATTACCAGATATTCTCTTTTGACTTTGCAGCTTCAGATGTTTTGTGAATCTGCCCAGATGTTGTGTCTGTTTGATCTGTCTCATGGTCTACCCCAGTTCTCTCAACTCTCTCACAGTTTTTGTCTTTCTGTTGTCTGCCATTCTTGTTGTGTATGTTCCAACCATCACTGTGCATTAACTCTCCTGATGCTAGTAGTTAGTGGTGCTCTAAGCAGGTTATGAATGTTCATTCATAATTTTATTGCTCAATCTGTTATATCACCATTGATCATAGCATCATGAGGGCTAAGACTGAAATAGCTGGGACATTTTGAGACAATGTCAGTTAACGGTGGATAAAAGCTGTACACATAAAGGAGCTGAATGGTCATAAACCATGAGGCAGACCAAGAAGATGATGGATAGAAAAAAAATATCCAGACATACTGCAAATACTGGGTGTTCTCTATTGGAAAGAGAAGGCCAACTAAAGAACGAATGAACAAACTTTATTTTCAAAGGGTTACAAATTGGGCACACAGGCCTGTCTGACTGACATTCAGCTCTTCTGAGCACTCATTTTTCAGATATTTTAATACCTGTTATCAATAATGCATGTTATGGATATAATAAAGAAATATAGATTATAGAATAATGTGTACACAATCGTACACACTTACACACACATGTACAATGGAGGCAGGTCAAATCTGCAGAAGTGAACCTCAAGGGCTCAGACTACTGAAGAAGAAGAATAAAATGTATTTTATTGGGACTTTTAGACTACAATGCCTAATTTTTCTCAGTCTGTTTCTTGTACCACTGATCTTTAATATCATCATCACGATCTCATACATCGCTTTCCTGGTCAGATAAGCACACAAGAAATATTTAGCGACTGAGGTTAGAGGTTAGATGAAACATCAATGTATATAAATAATGAGTAGGAGATGGATCTTAGATGACCATTGGCTAAGACGGGGAAACCCCCAAAAGAAAGTAGGAAATGTTGGTGTGAAGACTAGTTGATTTCCGTGGTTTAAAAGGGGGTCTGAGAGAAATTTAAACACGAGAATTAGGTGAGAAAGTAAACGATATTCAAGAAATACATGAACTAGAGAGAAAAATATTGGAAGAAAGAAGGATTGATGATCATTTTGTGTGGCGCTTCGATGGGAACCAAGGGATGAATTTCCATGTAGCTCCGTTATAGCTACTTTAGTTTCCAAAGTGTACATTACCTTGTCTTTGTCTTTTTTTCTTATCCCCAAGTGGAGCATAGGCCCTTAAAGAACTCACATCAGTTTATCTTATCCCCTTGAAGTTCACTCTATGTTCTCCGCATCTGTTTAAATTCACCCTCTAGTTCCCTTGTCAGTGTTTTTTGTTTTTTTCTACCTTTTTTTTAAATATCCCTGGGGGTTCCAGTCTAAAAACATTCTAGTTATATTGTTCTAGGGTTTTCTCAATGTTTATCCTGTCCAACGCCAGCTTCTTTTCACATCTTGATTCCTTAAGGTCCACATTAACGATTCTGTGATACCTTTTAATTTACTCTGTTCTGCGCGAGCACCATTTAGTGAATGTTTGTAGAATTATTCATAATTATTTTTGGTTGTTTTGTTACATTGTTGTTGCAATGATGAGCTCCAATATGACTGTCTATATTCCAGAATTGGTACCCGGGAAGTTCACAATCAGCTGGAGAAAAACAGGTGAGGATGTCAGTGTTGTTGGAGCAAGGAACCAAGGGTCTGCATACATTTAAGCCAGATGTGTGAAACAGATGTGCATGCAACACGCAAGTCCTGAAGCAAGTCTTAGCCTGAAGGTGGAAAAATACCCAGAACTTTCCGTCAAGAGTTTACTGCTGATGAACGTGAAGAAGAAGAGACCATCAATCACTGGAGTGTCTTCCTCTTCGCTTTCACTGGCTGTTAACTCCAATCGAAAGTTCAGATGTCCATCCACTCCTGTAATTTGTCTTGATCCAGAACTTAAGTTTTTTTTTTGGGTGCATATCCATTGTACAGATCTAGCTTATTTGTATGCAGGCTGTTGGTTCCTCACCTCTCAGGCAGATACACTCTCGCTTTAGAGATAACTTTCTTTTGTCACCTTCTACATACTTGAGAGGTGGGGGGAGAAGGGGTATATTTTTTGTTGTTCTAAAAAATGGAGCCGCGGAATCCACACAGGAAATTGGTTATGTAAGAGTATATAAGAGTTGTGAGGCTTCAAAAATAAAAGTATAGAGTTCTTTGTCTTTGGTCACTTCTGATGCTAGCGGTCTAAACATGGTGATGAGTTGCTTTCATGAACCCAGTCAGGAATAGATTGTGTAAGTGACCCCGGGTTTGCTACGTCAGAAGATAATAAACCAGATAAAAAGTAAAACCAGTCAGCTTCACATAATCAAAAACGACAAGTGATCACTGCAGCTAGAAAACTTTCATCAGCGTGACATGAATAGACAGTGTTACAGTTGCAAACATGAATGTACAAAGTCACTCAACTGAGATCTGTCAGAAAGAAATCCACGTCTGTCTGGCCACTTGAAACTCCATGTCATGTTTGGTAGATTCTTTCGAGGTTGGGGTCCCGGGTTGTTATGGGCTCGTAAGCATCTGCAACTATGTTCTCATTTTATTTTATAAAATGGGGCATATTCATTAACTGTTAGCAGGGTAGATATTTAGCAGACTGTAGGACAAGAGATTTTAGTGCCTCTTTCTTTCTCTTTAGAAATAGTGCACATTTTCCATAGATTTATTAGAACCAATACGGTTTATTTTAGTTATAAATGTCGACATTTTAGTGCTTGTAATGAATACTTTGATGATATTATTGTTTATTAAATGTATGAATGAAATGATGGAAGAGGTTTTGAACAAAAGAGTAACATCATGGCACACAGGTATTAACCCATTAGTGCTCCGCTCTTCTTCTAACTCAAGTCTGAGTCCGAAAAAGCTCAGCACAGTGCACAGGCTCTGTAGCACCGGCGAGGATCCTGAAATACTTTGGGTATATTTTAAAACTCTTTTTAACTCTAACGGCAGCGCGTTTAGGCTATATTTTCAATTTCCAACTGCCCATGATGGAAGAATGGAGGGAGACCTTGAAGGGCAGAATGTTAGATGGGCCTGCGTGCCCAATTTTTAACCCTTTAAAAATAAAGTTTGTTCATTTTTCTGTCTGTCTGTCTCTGTCTCTAGTTGCTGATTTCTGAAGATACTTTTAGTGTCTCTCTCTCTCTCTTTGATTACTGATTTATGAAAAGACATAGCATACTGGGCATACCCACAAAGATCCTGTATCCCATAATGAATGGACAGATAGAAATCTGCCCACTATCATCTAGAACAGGGTCATTTAACTAATTTTACTTAGAAATTTAAATATTGAAAATGGAAATTGTCACAGGCCAGTAGTTCAAGCGTCCGCATAGACATTAATATTATGCAATTAGCAGTTGTTGTTTGCGTTCACCGGCTATAAACTCCGGTGCAAAGAGACCTGGTTGTTCGTTCATTTCTGGACTTTGGCTTTGTTCCAGGACCTGAGTTTTGCGTGTGCATCTGTTTTACAGATCTGACTTATTTTTATGCAGATTGCAGGTTCCTTGCCTCTCAGGCAGATGCACTCCGGCTTCAAATGAAGCCCCCAGTTAGTCGACTCTTACAACATGCTTTTTGGGGAGGCAGTGGGTCTATTCTTGTTTTCCATACAACGGGGCCCCGGAACCCACACGGGGGGGGGGGGGGGGGGGGCAATTGGCAGTGATCCGCTGGCCACCTGCTAGGCCTCCGAGGGCTGGATTCGGCGCATGGGCCACCAGTTGAATAGTCCTTGTAAAGAAAGACAGAAAAGTGCCCAAGGTCATCTTTCCACATTTCGACACCTCAAGACATTGGCTACAGGAGACATAATGTGCATGGAATGCCAGGGCTGTTCAACTAAGTCTACTCTGAGGCCAAAATTCTGAAAATGGGGATCCTTGCTGGCCCAAGACCCAGAATAGGATGTTCATTAATCTATACAACAGGCCATCAACCATGGGCCATTTGTCAGTCCGCTAGTTGAATAGCCCGGTGGTACGCTGTGATGTCAGTTCTTAAATCAGTATTGAGAGGAGAAGCATTAATCTCTCTTAAGTGGAACAGCTCTCTAAAGATCTTAATCCAGCCTTGTCTGCAGTAGATAGGCCTCCCTCTCTCTCTCTCATGTATATAGGACATCTCTGCATGTCTTTGTATTGAATGTTGTTGTTTGAAAATTTGTGAGAGTTTGAGAATCGGATGACCACTTCGCAGGAGGAAACAGTTGCGGGAATTCTTCAACCACCTTCAGCAGTGTATCCCGTCTCTGGAGAACAAGCGGGTTGCCACTCAGTCTATCCTCCAGGGTGCTATCAAACACATCAAGGTATATCATGCTCAGTGCAAGTCAGTTTGTTTTACATAGTTTGAGTGGCTGTCTTGTCTGTTTGCTAGCCTCTTTGTCTGTTAGATTGTCTGTTTGTCACTTTGACCTACCTACCTTTGCCCGTCATCTCACCTATCTATAAATGTCTATTTTGTCTACATGCCATACTGTCTGTCAGTATAGGTGTGTATACTTTTCTGTTTATTTCCCTGCCTATCTGTCCGTTTACCTGCATACCCATCTATTTATGCCTACCTATCTTTAACCATCTTCTTGTCTGTTAACCTGGCTTTCTATATGTTTACCTGCCTACCAATCTGTTTACCTGCCTATCTCTTTAGCCACCTATATATTTATTTTTCCACCTAGCTGTGTGTTTACTACAGTTAGAAACCAGAAGTACCAAACAGGATATTATTGATAAACATATCATGAAAGTAGAAACTAACGACTACCACAACTGTCTGAAGTACATATCCTGAAAGTAGAAACTAACAGGCAGAAAAAGTTGAGTGAGTGACTGAGATCGTTAGATAAGATACAGGAAGACTGGACCACTTAGAGAGAATGCAATGTGATGCCATACCATACAAGGCATACACCCACAGAAAAAGTCATAGAGTAAGACGTAGGTCAAGAACAAGATGGAAAGATAACATCAGAGAAACTCTACGACAGCATGATGTCTCTATGGTCGAGGCAGCCAGAAGAGTGAGAAGCAGAATCGCAAATCTCCCTGGACGTTACACACACGCGCACAATAGACAAAAAGTGTGGATAGTGGTGACAAGGTTCGCTGTAGAAATGACATTTGGAGATAAGAATCGTGGGGCAGTCAGGCATATAAAGGCGGCGACATTCTGTTGAACGTTCAATTAAGAGGCGGCGTCATAGCACTCGAGACAGTCATATAAGCACTCCGTCCCCATCTTCAGCAGCAAACGAAGAGTTCCAATGTGTTAGTTGGCAGCCTAAGCTTCGTTGGGAGATAATAACAGGAGTCAGTTAGGGAGGAATACACATTTGTTCTGGTGCCCCAGTGGGGGGGGGGGGGGGGGGGAGGAGAAGAATAGACTTCTGCATTTCGCAAAAGGTGACCAATTAGGGGTGTTTCCTAAGTCGGATTGCAAGTGGCAAGGAACCCGAACCAGATCTGTGAAACAGATATGCACGCGAAAAACCGAAGTTCTGAAATAATACCAAAGTCCAGAAATATCCTTTACACAACGTCGCTGTCTTCAGGGTATACCAGAAGTTCTCTCTTTCTCCATCTCAGTGGCTCTCAATTGTCCGAATGCCGCTGTCCTCGTGTTGTGGCGAACTCCCCTCCCCCAAGTATTTTCCTTCATAGTTTCAATAAATATGTGTTTTCCGATGGTCTTAGGCGACCCCCTGTGAAACGGTCGTTCCCCCCCCCCCCCTCAAAGGGTCGCGACTGGCAGGCTGAGTACCGCTGCTGTAGCTACTTCTCCAGCCCTGTGTGATTTCATAGTCCACGCATCCTCAGTGTTCTCTTTATCTTACATTCTGCGTCGTTTTCCGGAAACTGCGCCCTCCATCACCACGGTGCTTGACAGGTCAGGATACATTCAAATGAGCCAGTTCTCCTTGATGTGTCCAGGTCGTGCACCGTTTTTCTTTTTGGTCCACTGTATTCTAAAAATTTGTTTGAGGCATTGAAATTCAGCAGTTAACAGCCGGTGAACGCTAAGAAGAATGAGGAGTTTAAAATAAAGAGAGAGGAGTAGAAACATGAAGAAGAGGTGAAATTAGACGGCAAGGTCTGGCCACGTGACTGGAGAAGAGCGTGTTGACGTTGTAGGAAAACAAACGTATCCCACAATCCCTCGCGCCTTGTAGGCGGGGTCTGGGGAAAGCCTCATGAATATTAAACAGCAGTGACCCATATTTGTGATGACGATCAAGCACGTGGATTTGTACCGGCCAGGTCACCACTATCATCATGTGGCTTCAGAATTGTTTCTGCTTCTGCGTGGGCCTTAAGAGGGTATTGGTACGTTGTGGTTTACAGCTAGGCACAACACATCCGATTTCCTCAGACCCTTAATTAGGACATGCCCGGCAGTGGGTCTGTTAAAGCCCCCTCCCACCCTGAGATAATAGAGAGACATGTGCATAACCAATGTGCTGTAATCACAGCATCGGACTCAATTTTGTTGTTTGTTTTAAAGACCCACCCTGGCTGTTGCCGCGGGTCGTAATTTAACCTAACGATTGAACGAGGTTTCTGGGACCTCTCCCGGTGATCCGCATGGTAGCATTTTGTGTCGCCTGGTGGGGTTATATCTCACACAGCCAGTGTGCTACTGGAACGGCCAACATCTGCACCGTGAAATATTTCTGGCTATGCTCATTCTTAAATCGGTAGTCTGTATTTTACACACACAAAAAAAAAGAGTAGAAATGTATATAGAAAACCCTTGCGTCAACTGTAACCAGCGTCGCGTTGACTCCCCCTCCCCCATGCCAGAAATAGCAACTTGCATCAGCCCGACCACGTGACGGACGGCACTATTTCTGCCGGGGTCACGGACAAAAGGACACGCCCTGTCTTTATCTAGGTCAGCTATTTCTAGCCGGGGCTTCCCCGCCCGGTTATTAAATCCCCGATGCCAGTGATACTGGGATTACTTTAGGCATATTATGTATTTCTTTTGTTCTCTTCTATACTGTTTGACTCACTACACGTTGATTAATCGGCTGCTTATTGTCTCGCCATGACACTCGTTCCTACCCATGTTTAGCTAACCGTTATTTCATGGAACATGCTAAGAACAATTAAAATATTTGCTCCCTCCTTTTCTTCCCACCCCCTTCTCACCACTCTCTTTTTTTTTCTCATCCCCTATTTTCTTCCCACTTCCTCCCCCTCCCCTATCCTCTCCCCCCTCCAACCTTCTCCCTACACACCTCGTCCTACCTCTTCTGTTCCTCCTTCTTCCCTCTTCTTCTTCTTAAAAGTCAAGCATCTGACTGACAGACAAGGAACCAACAACCTGCATACTATTAAGCCAGGTTTGTAAAACATACAGAGCTCAAGTTCTGGAACAAATCCATATCCCAGAAGTGGATTAACAACCATAGCTTTTTCACTGGAGTTAACAACTGGTGAACGCTAAGAATAAAAGACAGTAATGTCTCTCATTAGGTTACAGTTTTAAGTTTACTGAAGTACTGCACTGATTTTCATGTAAAATTGATCATATCTGCGAGGTTTCCCTGTTGTTTTAGTTTTATTGGCTCCTGTTCAAGATGGTCTCTATCGGCTTTGGGTGGGAATGAAGATTGTGCATGTGTTGTCTACTGTAATTATTTATCGTTGTGGTGATAAATGTGTGGCAACTTTCAGAACTTGAAGAAGAAAGATGTGGAACAGGAGAGAGAGATACAGATGTTGGCCAAAAGGAAAAGCGAGCTAAAGAAGAAATATGACTTTGAGTTCAACAAATGCTCGGAAGAACAGCAGCGCACTGCTCAGGTATTGCTGTCGTTCATCAGGTCAAAGATGGACACGGTTCCAGCTGAGCAGGATGGACACTCTTCGGACTCAACCAGTACAGCTTCAGGTAGTGTCTTGCTAGCAGGGCCGTCGGTACTTGAATTTTATGTGACCACATCTTGTCAGCTCAGAGATTTCATAGGGAACCCATAGGGGTTTCCCAGGACTGTACCATATTTTGGGGTTAAGGCTGGTGTTATATGAATAGCGACTACTACTAAGCCTAACCCTAACCTCCTATACTATGGGATGTTCTGGAGATTTCCCTACTAAATCTTGAAGCTGACAAGATGTCATTTAAAATTAAAGTACCTGACCTTATTTAGGCTTTGTGCAACGTGTGCAGCTGTAAAGGGCGATAACATTCTAAGAGCAGCAAAATATAAGTAGTAGTTTTAAAATGCCAGTATCTTTATTGCTTTTATGAAAGTTTTGTCTTGTATTGCTGCTCATCATTGCTGCATTTGGTCCTTATCTTGCACACTTACAAGCTAATGTTGTAAGGGCTCTTTGGGATAAGTCAACAGTAAAATACCCTTTTCTACTCCTTAATGCTTATTTGGCATATAAGGCTAGAACGATATTTATGGACTCATCAGCATGCTGGCAGTTTGTGTCACCGGGTGTTTATTGCTTGTGTGATGTCCTGGTTGGGTACAACTACCTACCTATTTTTTTTAAACCAGTTGGCGGGTTGGGTAATGTGGTCAACATCATGCTGGCTGCCTTTACTTCCCAGGACTTTATCTGGTACCCACTCACGTCGGGTTCCATCTGGGAGCCAAGGTCATTTTTGAAAAGGATGTCTGCAACTTTAGTATCTACAGATAACCTTTAATACAATGTAAAACAGAAGTCAATAATTTCACAGCATGCTGGTCGTCTGTAGATGATTAATTATATGACTGTACAGTGGCGGCATACGTCTTAGATATTGCCATGGTTACAGTAAACACACATGGAGGGTGGGAGACTTTTAAAGCTCATACTTTGTGGTGAATTACAGAAGGCTAGAAGATGTTTTTGACGGCCAGAGTAACTAACAACGATTGCTTGAAAGAAGTTAATGAAAGTAGATCTCTATATACAACAGTAAGAAAGAGACAAACACTGTTCTTTGGCTACATAATGAGAAGAGAGACATTAGAAAACACTGTGCTAACTGGAAAGATCAGTGGAAATAGGGGTGGAGGCAGACCAAGAGAGATGATGCTGGATGGGCTGAAACGATGGCATGGAGGGATATCATCAAGAGAGATGTTCCAGGCAACCAGGGATCGTGATCTCTGTAGATGCATGAGCGCCTACGCCAGTTGGCAGGGCACATGATAAGAAGATGTTGATGATGTCGACCTCTTCTATGATGTAAAGATGTGTACAAGTGGGACATGAATGATACAGGTAATGATGTGGATTTAAGAAAAGCAGATGCTATGGACTGTGTTCCATTTAGAGGGAAACAATCAGAAAGAGAATAGAGATACAGGAGAGAATAATTGCAGTTAGGCCATCAGCTGAGTGTTTAAGAAGAAACATATCCTCTACAGGTGATGGGAACAGTGGTTCTAAAAACCTATGCTTTTATTGCAGAAGATTTATCTTAGCGCTGGCAGGTCTTGCGGGTCAGCCTCGCCATTGCCATGGGCTATCAGTCTCATGCCTTCCTTTTAGCCCTGTTATTAACACTCTTTCTTGAAAGACGCAAAAGTGGGAGCAACAAGAAGAACAAATAAGAATTACAGTGGACAAAAACATTAGTATTGCATCTGGATAGGACACACATATAAAACCTAGTACTAGTTTAACTAACTTGTCCTTGCATTGGAACTAACACAGTCAAACAAATAAAGGAAGTCAGAAAAAAAATATGTGATGGGAAAAAGAGGATTAGAATGGGAATGGGCAGGGAAGCCGGACGTTCTGGGAGCTAGGAAATGGCTAAAGATAGTACAACCTGATGTGAGTTCATTGGGGACCTATTCTCCATTTGAGGATAAAGTTCAGGAGAAGAAGATTACACTTGTGAGGCAGCTAAGGGACTTTAACTATTTCTGTTTACAGAGGGACCAAGTAATGAAGACTTCAGTGATGGGGAGATGAGTGTAGTTCCGCACTCAGTTAGGTGGGCCATGACACCTGGAAGTAGCGACAATCGTAAGCGGAAGATGACCCCACAATCTGAACCAGCTCAAGGTTAGTTGTTGTTTAAGGTGAAGATTTGACTTTGTTGCCTAAGGTCAAGGCTGCCTGTTGTTTAAGGTGAAGTTTTGACTTTGTTGCCTAAGGTCAAGGCTGCCTGTTGTTTAAGGTGAAGATTTGACTTTGTTGCCTAAGGTCAAGGCTGCCTGTTGTTTAAGGTGAAGATTTGACTTTGTTGCCTAAGGTCAAGGCTGCCTGTTGTTTTAAGGTGAAGATTTGACTTTGTTGCCTAAGGTCAAGGCTGCCTGTTGTTTAAGGTGAAGATTTGACTTTGTTGCCTAAGGTCAAGGCTGCCTGTTGTTTAAGGTGAAGATTTGACTTTGTTGCCTAAGGTCTAGGCTGCCTGTTGTTTAAGGTGAAGATTTGACTTTGTTGCCTAAGGTCAAGGCTGCCTGTTGTTTAAGGTGAAGATTTGACTTTGTTGCATAAGGTCAAGGTTGACTTGTTGTTTAAAGTCAAGATTGGACTTTGATGCTTAACCCTACCAGACCTGAGGCCCTGAACCTAACTGCCCCCTATACCTGGGCATTAATGTAAAAAAAAAAAACATGATATACAAAAATATTAGTTACATGCAAACAAGTGGTTAGAATAAGTTGAAACTTGGAGACATTGTAGAAAAATAGGTTTAATTTTTATTTAGTGCCAGTATTCCACCTTTGTGTGCAATTGCACCCAGAGAGATCGGCATTGTTTCACAAAGTGAGCACCAGATGTTGCTGTTTTAGGGACACGCCCCCTTCTCTTACTATTGATCTAGTTTTAAATCTATAATTTTTGAGACTCTCCTCATCACTCTGACTGTATCACTTAAACTAGGAACGTATTCTTCACGAAATTCTGACTCCTAAAGAGTCTAAATCAACCAAAGTATCGATCACCTGTTGGACTGTGAAAAGCCTGGACTTACTTCACTTTCCTGTCCAAGTGCCTGGTTCATCAGCCACTTGTTTTATTGTAAATTTTCAGAATTTTTTCACGTCAAACCACGCAAAGAAAATCCAGACACATGTGGGCAGCAATTCGCAACGACTAACCGCGAGGTCTGATTATGATTGGCTAGTTATTTTTAGTTTGTGACGCATTGTTTTCATGTAGTACGCAAATTCCGGACATTGAGGGACAGCGGTTTAGATGCAGATTAGGAAATTCCCGACATTGAGGGACACCGGTTTAGCGGCAGATTAGGAAATTCCTGACATTGAAGGACAGCGGTTTAGTGGCAGATTAGGAAATTCCCGACATTGAGGGACACCAGTTTAGCGGCAGATTAGGAAATTCCCGACATTGAAGCACAGCCGTTTAGTGGCAGATTAGGAAATTCCTGTCATTGAAGGACAGCGGTTTAGCGGCAGATTAGGAAATTCCTGACATTGAAGGACAGCGGTTTAGCGGCAGAATAGGAAATTCCCGACATTGAAGGACAGCGGTTTAGCGGCAGATTAGGAAATTCCCGACATTGAGGGACACCGGTTTAGCGGCAGATTAGGAAATTCCTGACATTGAAGGACACCGGTTTAGCGGCAGATTAGGAAATTCCCGTAATAGCTGGCCAGCGGTGTGGTAGAGTTAAGATCCAGGCTGCCTTTTGTTGTTTAACGTGAAGATTGGACTGTTGTTTTTGAATGTCAAGGTCGGTCTGTTGTTGAATCTCTGCCATACTGGTAGTTACATTCAGCTGCTCAGTCCTGGTTCTGCAAATAGTCTTTTGTTGTTAGGTTGCTTAGTTTGGAATTGGCACTGGCTAGTAGCCTCTTCTGGCCAGACTTTTACAGTTTGTGCAGATTGGAGAGTTGTGAATTTGGGTCCCGACAGTGCTGCACTTTTGTTCCCCTCCCAGAAATTACCTTGGCTGTCAGGTTTGACCCAGCCTTGAGTGGGTACCAGGTACAGTCCTGTGAAATAAAGGTGCCTGGCGGAAGGCTGACCACATAACCCACCAACTGCCCATTGTTTATAAAATATATTTCAGGCCCTGTATTCCCAGTATGACTGAAGGCATGGGAAAAGGTTCTTTTATTGTTTTGTTAAGTTTTACTTTTTTATTATTTCGACTGCTGCCAGATTTTTACATGATGTGAGTTATCAAAGCTTTTTTTTTTTCTTTGGTCATTATCCAGGCAGACTAAACTTTGGCCTGTGTTTAGGATTTGGGGACGTATATCCTTCCTATCTGTTTCCCTGTGTGGGTTCAAGGGCCAGGTTTTGTTGAAAAAAAATGAATAGACCCACTGTTCTCTCCCCCCCCCCCCCCCTCCCCTCCCCCAAACAAGCATGGCATAGGGGGCGACTGATTAGTAGTTTTAACTTCAGAGTCGGAGTGCGTCTGCCCGAGAGGTGAGGAGTCTCCACAGTCTCCACACAGTTAAGCCAGGTCTTTAAAACGGATCCGCACACAAAACTCAAGTTCAGGAACAAGACTAAGGTCCAGAAATAGATGAACAACCAGAACTGTCCCCCAGCGTTAACAGCCAGTGATTCAGCAGAAGAAGAAGAAGGTAGAACAGTCATGAAAGACAGCAGGGTTTAAACAAGAGGCAGAAGTCCACTAGTATAAAAGTGGACACCTGAAAATACATTCTACATGGAAATACAGTGGTACCTCGGTTTGCATCCTTATTCTCTTCCATCTTTGGACTTATACTAAAGAGGATGTATGCCAAACAAATTTTACCATAAGAAATACAGGGAGAATGTTAAAATCTAATCCGATGAAAAAATCATATTTTTATTCTGTTGATGGGGTTGTATAAAATAATTTAAACACTGCTTTAAAACAAAAATACCTACATATAAGAGCAGTTAGATTAAATAAATGAAAATGTAACCTAACTTTACCTTCGTGAGAAGAATTGAGCACCTACTAGAATGATACTGAGAAGGGAGGAAGTGATGTCATTATTTCGAAGGAGAGTCCACTTCAGTTGAAGTTAAAGGAATCTGAAATTCTGGTGTGCATTTTTCCCCCCATCTTTTTTTTTTGGGTCTCTTTTCCCTACTTGGACCTGGTTAAGGCTAACAGGTTCTAGCACATGAGTCATATACCAAACAAAGGTCACATCAAGTAAAAGTAAAGAACCCTTTTTCACACCTTGGGCGCATGGGCATATAGGGTTGGACCTACTTTTTTTTTTTTTTAGACCAATCGGCACTGGATGGGTGATATGGTCAGGACTTTACCTCTCAGAACTATACCTGGTACCCACTCAAGACTGGGTCCAGTTGGGAGCCAAAGTGATTTAAAAAAAAAAAAAAAATCCAGCTCTGCCAGGATTCAAACCCACGATCTTCTGATCTGCAGAAGGTCGTACTCTAAGCATATAATTGTTGGCCTCTCAACAGGACCTAACCAAGTTTGACATTAGAAAGCAGACGTAAACCAGGGTACCACCAAATATGAGGCAGGGGGTCAAAGCCTGTGAGTCATGACGGGAGAGACGTTTTGCCAAAAAGTTAAGATAATGGTGATGATATTTGTATGAAATATATATTTGTTCTAGGTCTCAAGGTAAATGAACCATCTGTTGGTAGTTGCAGACCTGTGGTTTGTGTGAACTCGCTGGTTTCGTCTTCTGTCTCATCGTCTTCAGTTGCCCTGAAACACATGCTGGAGCAGAGGAAGAAGAACCAGACGGCTACAGGTCAAGGTTGGTACATGACCCTCTGTCATCATCATCATCATCATCATCATCCTTTTGTGCTCTTATAGGACTCCTGTCCACTTCCTTTCCATTCTGTTCTTTGCAAGCTTATCCCCACTCCTTCTTCCCATGCTGTTCTTTGCAAGCTTATCCCTTGCCTCTCTCAACAAAGTTCTTAGTTTTTCTTGGATGTTAGTGTTTCCTCACCCCATTTCTTTACCATTTCCGTGTCTGGTGATTCTGTGGCCATGCCTGGCCTGTCATCATCTTGTGTGTGTCCTTTAACTAATGATGCAAGTGGTTGTTTATACATGTCACTTATCTGACCCTATGTAGGCTATTCCGCACAGGTACTGAGAAACAAATGACAGGTACCGAGAAGCAAGCGACAGGTACTGAGAAACAAACGACAGGTACTGAGAAACAAACGACAGGTACTGAGAAACAAATGACAGGTACTGAGAAACAGAAAACAGGTACTGAGAAACAGACATGTACTGAGAAACAAACGACAGGTTCTGAGAAACAAACGACAGGTACTGAGAAACAAACGACAGGTACTGAGAAACAAACGTGTGTCAACATAAAAATTAAGTAAAGGATCCTTTTCCACACCTTTAGGCATATAGGGCTAGACCTATATTTTATAGATCTATCGGCACAAGATGTGTGATGTGGTCAGCATCACTCTGGCCGCCTTTACTTCCCGGGACTACACCCGGAACCCACTCAAAGCTGGGTCCACCTGAGAGCCAAGATCATTTTTGAAAAAGTCCGGCTCCACCAGGGAGCGAACCCACAAACCTTTCGATCCGTGGTAAGCATCTAGCCACTCTGCCATGGTGACTCCCGCGTGTCATCGTAAACCCCTAAAAAAGCACTTCATGACACAATCTTCTTGTCAACCCTGTGCTACCAATACCAAACCTAGTCAATGACAGAAAAACAATGAAAATTAGAACTGAAATAAGATTCATACGAAGGGATCTCAATATAACAATAGAAGATCCGATTAAGGATGATGCAATCTTTAAGAAGATTGGGGGTAGTTGCAGCTCTGAATTTGATTAGAAAATAGCAGGTGAAATGGTTTGGCCATATAACGTGGATGCCAACAGGTAGAATAACACAGCGAGCAATGATGTACAGGCCCGTCGGGAAGCGACGAAGAGGCGGACCACGTAAGCAATGGACAGGAAAATAACAATCCCTTCCTGAGAATCCCTATTTATGAAGCCCACCAATGGGCATTTTCCCATTAATTATCCTCAACATTGTACCATACCAGAGGATCAAGGTGAGATGAGTAGGCTGTCCTGAAAGTTTACATAAAGTTTGAAATGTTTGCAGCGTTAGATTATTAATTATCAAGTGGCTAAGCCATTGACCTCATGCTCTGAAAGTCTTGTGTTCATTTTACAAACTACTCCATTTGGTCTGCAAGTGAAATTTGTATAGGATGCCTAGGAGTTGTCACTGGTGCTTCACTTTGTTGTTATGCAGTGCTTTTGATAACTGTTATACTGAGAGAAACTGGGCCTTATGGGAAACATGCCGGTACAGAAAGTGGAAAAGGGATTATAGGAAGAGGAGAAAAGCAGAAGGAAGATGGTGGAGGGTATGAGATAGAATGCGGAGGAGGTAGAAGAGGGTGATGATTGAGTAGAACGAGGAGCAGGATATGATGATGGTCTACAATGAAAATAGAATGCGAGGAGGTGATGTTGGAGCAGAATAAGGAGGAGGTAGAAGAAGATGATGGTGGAGTAGAATGAGGAGAAGTTTGAAGAAGATGATGGTGGTGTAGAATGAATAGAGAATGCAAGGAGGTGATGGTGGAATAGAATAAGGAAGGGGTAGAAGTAGGTAAAGGTGCAGTGGAATGAAGAGGGAATGAAAGGAGGCGATGTTGAGGCAGAATATGGAGAAATGAACAAACTTTATTTTTTAAGGGTCACAAATTGGGTATGCAGGCATGTCTTACATTTGGGCCTTCAAAAAACCTGTCTTTTACACAGCAGTTGAATTTTATCAATTAGGTATTTATGTTAATAAAACAGGGGGTGGTGCTGTTCACGAAAACCGTGACTTTTAAATTAGTTTATGCACTGTGCGCTGTTTCATTCATAAATCATTGGACTGCTCGGGGGCGTAGGGGTGTGACCTAATTCTAGATATTTTGGAGACACCGATGATATGCAATGTTGCGGCGTGTCACTGTTCATTGTGCCATTCTGTAAGCAAAACATTGGCCGATGCTGCGTGTCGCTGTACATTGTGTCGTTTCATGGGATGTCCCAGACAGAATAGACTCACACCCCAGTGATCCAGAAGAGTCCAAGAAGTTATAAATGAAAGGTCAACGTCACGGTTACCGTGAACAGCACCCACTAGGTTTAAGGAAGCGATGGTATGAACCCTTGGCCTCTAAATTTAAGCTTAGTCCACCAGAGTATTTGTGGCACACACCTTTGTCAAAAAGTCATCCATGGGTACTTTCCGTAACTCAACAACTGTTTCACTGGTGACGTCTTAGAAAATTATACCACAGTCACTCGGATGTAATTCAGCGCTTCTCCCACTAAATTATATTAATGCCTTACTATTATAAACAGCGAAACAACTATGGTTCTTCTGAGATACATGTTTGTGACATCCTTATTACAGAATGAAATATCAGTTAAAACTCGACAATCCAGGAAGAAAATCCCCAAATTTTCCCCTTCAAATCACCTGCCCCATTTAACCATTGTCCTGTTTGTCAAAGTCATACTTGTCCGTCACAAGAAGTAATGACCTCTTTCTCATGTCCAACTGATGTACTGATCTGTCGCACCATAAACAGTCCTTAAATCGTCCGATCTGTCACAGTATTAACGTTTTAATGTAAATTTGTCACATGTAATTCCTATTTCTGTCACTTTCATTCCTTCGTCCACGTAGACTTTCAGTAAAGAACAAAGAAATTAACAATTTGTGATTTTAGGTTAATTTTTTTTTTTAATGTGTTATTTTCACATTTATCATCAGTTTGTATTAACCACAATTTAAAAAAAAACTAATTTAATCTGTCTAATATATTTTCTTGTAGCCAATACGTTGCAGCAGTTGGCTGACCAGTCTTCGTCCAGAGTGTCGGAGACACCAGTGAGCTCATCAGTGGGTGTAAATTTTGCTGCTATTGCTACCAAAGGGCCAGGAAGTTTGACATATAGTTATCCTATTATCACAACACATTTGGCCTCGGCTGTCAGGCCACCAATGTCCCTGGCTGGCCCTGGTATGACACAGAGTAGCCAGCTGACGTCGCAAGCGCCAGTGTTAGCAGTTGATCGTGTCTTGGTTAGTCATGCCTTGCCAGGTACAACTCCAGTTATGTCATCACAGAGTGAGTCCACACTGGCAACCATGATAACTCCAGTTTTGTCATCACAGAGTGAGGCCACAACCATGATAACTCCGGTTACGGCGGGTACAAGTACAAAAAAGAACAGAAAAACAAATCAGCAGATTCAAAGCAAGAATGACTCGTCATGCCTGCGACAGACTACAGCAGCGCATAATTCTAGTCTATCTTCGCACAATATCAGTTTAGCAATGGCAAGAAACTTAAATTCCTCATCTATGCATTTACTTCCGGATTCACCTTTGAAAGTGACCTCTGGGTCTGCATATTTGCAGGGTGTGTCCATGGTACAGCCGCAGCACATTTTAATCAAAACGCCAGAGAACAGAAGAATGGACTCTTCACATGTACCTGCACAAAAAATAGCACCATCAAAATCACGACTAGATTTGTCTAATTTTGGCTTTCTTGATAAAACTGTTGTTGGGGATCATGCTGTACCCTTGACCTTGGAGTCCACAGCGTCTGCTATACAACCTTCGAATGCAAATATGATGGCATCAAAAATACTACCAACTGTTATTCCACTCTCGCTAGCTTCACTCATGCGCGGTCTGCCGATCACCGCTGGCCTGCCCCAGATGGTCAGTCTGGCTTCCAACGCGTTTGGATTTACGCCGTCTACAGATTCACAGCCAACCACGCCGCACACTGAATTGACGCATTCTTCCGTCTTAAACAGCAGATTTCATATCACACCAAATGGACATTACTTACTGACGTCGATGCCTGTAACCTCTCAGCAGAGCTCTGTCTCGTTGTCCACAAACAATGCTAGAACAGCAACCTTACTCTCAGCACCTCCATCTCATATTAATAAAAGTCACTCACCCCTTGCCAGTTCCACATCCACCATCTGTCCCTCTTCTGCTATTACCATCCCTGTCACTTTAACTCCTACACTTGTTCCCCTTTCTTTAAACAACGGGCAGATGTCATCTAATCCTTCGTCAGTGCTCTCCTCGGGAACTCCGTTACACATCTTTAGTTCATTATCTCAAACTCCAATGATGGCGACGTCTTTAACAAATGGCCGGTCTTCCTTAATACCAACAGTTGTCCAGTTGGACACATCTGGCCAGGTTGCCCTTCTCCAGAATCTCATTCCTGGCCAGCACCTCCAAGTGCAGAATTCCCATCACATCTTGACCCAGCCATTTGTTGTTATGGCAACAGCAAACTCTAACTTTACCTCTTCAACCAGCACTGCAACTACTACTTCCTAACACAAATTCTGACATTATTTTTTATTTTCACTCTATTTAAAATGTCTTTATTTATTGTCTGCTACAAATTTATCTAGGCTGTGAAATCAATAAATGTGTTTCCTGCAAGGATGTATATTGGTGTGCCAGATTTTTGCCATTACTAGACTAAACTGACCCAATTTCTTTTGCTACATATATGTTATAAGTCATCCCCCTGTAGGATACAGTTTTTTATTTTTATTTGGAGCCTCACCCTGGCTTTTGCCGGGGGCCCTGAATTTATTGGGGGCCATAAATATGGCTTAGTCATAGATATGGCCTAATGGCTGAATGGGGTTTCTGAGACCTCTCCATGTGTGATCCTCATCCGCATGGTGGCACTTTGTGTCCCCGGGTGTTTATCGCTGGTGTGATGTCCTGGTGGGGTACAACTACCTACCTACCTACCTTTTGCCATACAGTGTTTTGATTTCCTTAGGAAAGTTCAGAAGTGGGTGAAATAAAAATAAACAGCCTGTCAGTGTACAAGATCTGCGGCTGCTTCTGTACCAGGGCTCTTCAACAAAGTTTAATCAGGGCCCACAATGTTGTAAATGAGGATATTTAAGGCCAGGGCCCTAGTCATTACAACTAACAGTGATCCCCGGACCACTAGGTCTCTGTGGGCTGGATTCGGCCCGTGGGTTGCCAGTTGAAAAACCCTGTTCCAAGCCTTCCCCATATTGTTCTTTTATTTTTTTCGGGGGGCGGGGGGGGGGGGGGGGGGGGGTTCCAGTGAAGGCACTTACTAGTGACACTTTGTCACCTTGTCTTCATGTAGACGAGCTGCTGGCCGAACAGTTAAGAATGCAGGGCACTCATGCAGGAGATATGGGCTCAAATCCCCTTAAGATTGGGATTTTTTTTTTGGTTTGTCAGGAGCAAAACTGAAACCCTTACCTGAACAATCCGTGGCAGCAGCACTAGCCACATGGCCCTAAATCCTCAGGTTCAGAGACCCCCCCCCCACACACACACACACACGCCACAGAAATGGTAAAACTGGGCAACAATGACAGGTTTTTGTGTGTGTCCCAGTCTTCATGTATATGTCCTTTTCAGTGTTTATGATTCTGCAATTACAGTTTGTTTCAGAGTACTTGACATAGCAATATATTTTACTGGATGAATGTCTGTTTACTTTCCTCATATTTTCATATTGTTTTATGATAGTAGTTGTTAAATTAGGCTGTGGATAATTAATAGTTTTTAATTAACTTGCTCAGTTGCGGTGGGATCCGGAGGTACATAAAGTCTTTCATCTTCTATCCTGGTATATAGAGGTACCTTTCAGTCTTTCCTCTTCTATTCTGGGATGTAGAGATACCTTACAGCCTTTCTTCTTCTTCCTTCAAAATCTCAATATCCTAAAGGTTTGTAATTCCCTTTCAATCTTATGTAATGTCATGGGAATTTGACCCCAAGACATTCTTGGCAATGTGTGAAAGTTTCACAAAGGAAAGGGAAAATGCCATCTTTGACATCCTGTTATGTAATATGCCATGTTTATTTATTTTTGTGTGTGAACCAACTGACTTTGGACCATTTTGATGTTATATGTTTTAAAATCTACACATTATTTCTCTAGAACATTTAGAATTATGATGTGTTTTATATGCTCTTAACAAGTTAGACAACTCATATTTTAATTAAATGGTTCTTTCCCTTGTTCACAAGTGAAGATCATTAGTTCCCTTGGCACAGAACCACAGATAAGAGTCATGGTGGAGCATAATAATAAACATTGCAGTTGTTTATTTTGTGAGGCTTATTGTCAGTTCTCCTGTTACCGAGTTGTTAAATTACGTGCCAAAAAAAATGGAGTGGATGTTATGTGTAATTTTTGTCTTCCCTATACTATGCTGTTTTTCTCATCCTTGGTTGATACCTGAAGGTTGGACACCTTGAAATAACACAATCTCAGTCTTGGTAGATATCGATTTTTGGTTAAGATTAGAGTGTAGTATCTCTTCTTTCAGTCTGGATGGAAAAACCAACAGGACAAACCCCAGATACCCCGTTCACCCTTAAAAGAAGTTACAGTTGGGACATTTCAAAATGTTTGGCTGTTAAACGCCCATGACGCTAGCTAGGACATTTCAGTGGAAAATTATACCCAGGATAAAGCCACCATAGCATGTGCCAATCAAATGGTTTGGACATGTGTCAGGACAACCACCAGACAATGGACCACAGAGAGCCCTGTCACTTAAACATAATTACAGCAGAGCCAGAGGTCGACCATGCGAGCGATGGAATATCCGAGGCTATAAATACTAGCATCTACGTAGCAGTATACTAAGGTTCTTACTCGATGCCTCTTCAAAAACCTGACGCTGAAAGGCAGTACAGGACTGAAGAAGAAGAAGAAGCGTGTGCTTCCTCTACAAGACATAGTTAATTTCATTTTAAAATCAAAAGCTGTGATGAAAAACTGTCTTTATCTTGACGGGGAGTGCAGTCTCAACACAACCACAGTTAAGGACCCTATGTGCTTCTACGCATGGCCAAATGGCGAAATCACTCATTACAGAGACTGAGGACATTGCAATATGACACTTAACCAAACAGTTAGTTGTCTATTCTTTGTGTCCCAGGGATCACTGCCAGTCGTATTGTATTCATGATCTTTCTATGCTAGGGCTCAAACTTGTGTCCCAGGGATCACTGCCAGTCGTATTGTATTCATGATCTTTCTATGCTAGGGCTTGAGCTTTTGGCCCAGGGATCACTGCCAGTTGTATTGTACTCATGATCTTTCTATGCTAGGGCTTAAGCTTTTGGCCCAGGGATCACTGCCAGTTGTATTGTATTCATGATCTTTCTATGCTAGGGCTCGGACTTGTGGCCCAGGGGTCACTGCCAGCTGTATTGTACTCATGATCTTTCTAAGATGAGGTTTGGGCTTGTGGCCCAGGGATCACTGCTAGTTGTATTGTAATCAGGATCTTTAGTGCTCGGGCTTGTGGCCCAGGGATCACTGCCAGCTGTATTGTATTCATGATCTTTCTATGCTAGGTCTTGAGTTTGTGGCCCAAGGATCGCTGCCAGTTGTATTGTATTCAGGATCTTTCATGCTTGGGCTTGTGACCCAGGGATCACTGCCAGCTGTATTGTATTCATGATCTTTCTATGTTGGGGCTCAGGCTTTGTAGCCCACCACGGTCTCCATGTTCCAACATTTTCGTCACTGAGGAAACTTTGTCTCATGGCCCTGCTCCACGGTGTATTGTGGAACCAGCCCCTGACAGTTTTGTTTTGTTTCGTTGCTCTTGATTGTTAATTTTATGTTACTTACTCATTACCAATGAACATTTGATTCTGCATTCTACTGTGGACATCAGCACAAAGCGGTCTGTTGCCAAATGCCAGCAGCTGGAATCGAACCGGGTAATTCATAGGAAAACCACTTTGGGTGACTCAAAGGCTAATGAAAGGTAGCGATACAATTGGGAGGATAAAACGAGATACAGACTAACACAACCTGGGAGAAGAAAAAATGAGGGGGGGGGGGGGGGGGGGATAGACCAAACTTTTTAATGGAAAAGGCAACTGCTTTATTGATTTAAAATAGTTTCAATAGACAAAGATACAGAGAAAGGTTATATACGAATGAGGTAGAGAAGAATATAAAGCTTATGTACAAAATGGATGGTACTTTATTTTCAATTCACCCCAAACAGGAAATCCCGAAGTTTTGGGCAAAGTCCAGTGTTGTAGGGGTGTTGCGGATTAGAATCTTTGTCAGCCCTGACCGGCTTAGAGACACGCATAACAAAAACGCCAGCCCCCTAAATTGTTGGATTTTTCCGGGGCCTGAGGGATTTTCTTTGTTTGAGGTGAATTAAAAATAAAGTACAAATGAAATTATTAAAAAAAAAAATTTGGACTGGCCCAAACAATCGCTACACTACATCATCTTGTTCAGGTCACGAAAGGGGAGTTCACAAAACTGTGTTGGGACATTTGACCTTGCTTTTTTGCGTCTGCAACAAGTGTTATTATGACCAGGGTTTCTCAAACTTGGGGTCCAGACACACCTGGGTTGATGTGCAGCCATTATTGAAAGCCGTTGACACATTTGCAATATTTATTGTCATAATAATCATCAGATACCTTGCAAACTGGAGGATCATGTCAGCAACTAAATAAATAACAGGAGTGATGTCACTAGAGTGGAGGTTGATTGGAGTAGATCTCCAACATGTCTTTCTGTAAATTCTTTCAAGTGGCTACCCAAAGTATAAGAACGCTGGGCTTTCCTGTGGGGAGACCCAGGTTTGAATCCTCTGTTAGGGAAAATTGCAGTGACGCCACTTGTGATAACACAGCAAAGGTGGTACATTCCGCTCAGTAAACTCTCTCAGACTGCTGTTGATCAGTTTCTTAACGTTGTCCTCTCCCGGCGGCCTCCAACACCATTTAGCTGTTTACTGATACCTTCTGACAAAAGGCTGCCTAAAATATTTTCTGATCGTCTTTTTCCATCTCGCGTTCCATACATCTTTCTAGTTGTCCAGTGTCTCAGTTTTTCCCCCACCCCCTCTACTTATTCAGTGACTACAAAATAGTGACTACCTTTTTCTTATGTTTGTGACAAATTCATTTATTTCATTGGCACTTTTCTGTCTTTCCAGACGGTAGTGTTATTTTGTGCTATAAGGAGGCATGGGACTCACAGCCCATGGCGATGGCGAGTGTGACTAGCAAGACCCGCCCGTGTCAAGAAAAATCTTCCAGAATGATAGCATGGGAATTCAGGACCATTGTTAACAACATTTGTGTTCAATCCGTTTCTTTTCAGACACTCAGCTCTCATCCTTTCTGCAATCATTTCTTCTTTCAGTCTCATTCCCTTCCTGATATGCTCTTTCCACTCAGCATGGCTCATGACATTTTGTTCACATGAGTCCGCCTCAATACCTGTATCATTTATGTCCCGCTTGCACACATCTTTATAACGTAGTAGAGGTCGACCTCAACATCTTCTTCCTGTCTTTAATTCACCATAAAGGATGTCCTTAGGGACTCTGCCACCCTCCATTCTCCAGGTGTGACCAAGCCACCTGAGCAACAAAGCCTGAGCAGTATTGTAAAGACCATATGTTGCCCATAATGATCCTTCCCTCGACCTGCCTTGTTTACTCCAAAGGAAAGGCGAATTGGCAAATTATCTGACTGGTAAAATATTTAGATCGCTTGTTTTGAATGTCTGATGAATAGTAAGTTTTAGGTAAAACCACATTTCTTAGAACTCCAGTCATTTTTGGCTTTTTTTTTACAAGTGTTCACATCACTGTCCTGTTGCACCATTGTACGTCATTAACTAGCATGACACCCTTACCGTAAAACACAGAGTATAAGTCGCGTTTTCAAGCCTATAAAATATTTACAAAGACTCAATGTTGACTTAAAAGGCAGGTAGACAGTGCGTTAGTGGGTATAGGCTCGATTCAGAATTGTAAGCTAAAAATCTTGCGGTTGACGTGCAGGTCACAGTTTATGGTATTTTCAAGATAACAGGTTAGTCATATGTCCAAGTGAACTTGTCCCTACAGCGAGGAGCTGTCGCCTTGTGGAAACATCATGTTCGAATCTTGGTGGGATCATTTAAGTTTTGCGTTTTTATGCTGTCCAGTGAATTCACTATGAATGCCAATCAACGCCCTTGGGTGTATTTCTCATGCTGTTTCGTAAACCTAATAATTTCCACAACAGTTGACATTTCTGCTGACTTCACAGCAGAGCCAGAAGATCACGAGGCCGCGTTAGCACAGTCGATAGGAGGCTCGCTTTCAAATCCAGCTGCGGTTCGCTGCAGCATATGGCCGGTGTTCGAAACAGGGCGGTTCCAGAGGTTTACCCAGCCTCTAGTAAATGGGTACCAGAGTTAACACTCTGGGGTAAATGGAGGAACGTCGCTGTTGCTACGGAGTTTCTTGCGGACGGCGACGCAGGTGAACAGTTTCCTATCAGCTGTCTGTACTGGTGGCAGAGTACTTAGGTTTAAAACCGTGTGCAATGCCGCTAGTTCACATCTCCTGACTTTACCTTTTTGTTCACAGCAGAGGCAGAGTCGGGTTTATTTGTGTTTGTTCAAAATCGCCTACATGTGAAACAAGTATGAGAAGCACTGTTTAAAGTCCTGAACCTTTCTCAACAAGTTTGAGAAGCACTGTTTAAAGTCTTCAACCTTTCTCGAGGCTCTAAACCGGCCCTTTTTTTAACTAGATCTACGTTTCCCGTGTCTGTTTACCGTCTTCAGCTAAATTTCGTGAAGTATTTTAAAGTTTCACCTGACCCAGCTTTCAAGCGGAAAGGTTAGATCTGAAGTCTGCAAACATATCTAAATATAGGACTCGAAAACCTTTTCAGCACCCATCTGTAGCCATGCAGGCTAGCCAACACACAAGGCTAAGATTAGCCTTAAGAACAAGTTTTCTCCGCTACAACAGGTTTTAAACTTGCTAGGACGCAGAATTAACATTTCAGTTAGAATGATTCTTGATCTGTTTGAGAATTCTCAACTTGTCAGTAGATCCAGGGTTCATTTATTAAAAATCAAATCTGTTCCATCTCTACAATGAACGTTGGCTGCAACATATGCAATAACAGCCACGTGAACGGTATTTTACTAAACATTTTACGACGTAGAGAACTGAACCCTGGTGAACATCGAAAATCTCACTATGAAACGATTTCACTCCCTCCAAGGCACAGAGCCATTCTTCTTCTTCTTCTTCTTCTTCTTCTTCTTCTTCTTCTTCTTCTTCTTCTTCTTCTTCTTCTTCTTCTTCTTCTTCTTCTTCTTCTTCTTCTCCTCCTTCTCCTTCTTCTTCTTCTCCCCTTCCTCCTGGTAGGGCTTCCAAATTGTGAATGAAATAAACAATTTCAAACACAGATACAAACTTGTAGAATTTACACATTACATTCTTCTACAAACACAGTTTTGGTCAAAAGTTGCCATAAATAAACAATAAGAAACTAAAAAGATACTAGTATCAGTGGCGGAACAATGAGCACAGACGTAAGTCTACTCTTCCCGTGTAACATGGGCCAAGTGAGTGGACATCACAGACCACGAAAGGTAAATATCATGATATGGGTTCTGGGGCCCCCAAGTGGGGGAGGGGGGGTGGCAGAGCCACTGCCCCATAACAAGCATGTCGCAAAAGGAGATTCATTAGGGATCTTTCCTTCGTAGTCAGTGCATCTGACTTATAAATAAGCCAAATGTGTAGAACGGTTGTGCACGTAAAACTGAAGTTCTGGATTAAGGAGTGAGTGGACGAACAACCAATACTATCATAGTTTGGGAACCATTTAGACTTTCATAGTTTGGGAACCACTGATTGAATGATTCTAAAATCTAACCTGGTTGGCTAGCTCTGGGAGAAGGGCAAGACGGTAAACAGTAATTGAGCGCACCTTCAGTGTTAACTTTGATGATGTGCTTGGTCAGGCTGGTGGATTCTTGGTGGAATGAAGGATGTCCAACCTCAGACGGTCTCGCCCGGATGAACAGGACGATTTACTTCGCAGACTACAGGTGAGTGGTGCTACCATCATTCATCGTTTGTAGTCCTTCGTGTGTCTTCAGGTGTGTATGTACCTTCTTTTTCTGACAGATCCTTCGTTCGACACGAACAAAGTTCAGAGGCTTTCGCGGTTGTGATTCGAGGAAAAAGGTGAAAGAAGATAGCGGGGCTTTTGCCTTGACTACAAGTAGTTAGACTATGGAGGTGATGGCGATAACAAAGGCAATGGACAGGGCCGAAATTCTCAATGCTCTCAAGGAGACAGGACGATAAGATGATTCAGGAGACGACTTTGAATCGACAACACTCAAAAGACTGCAAGAACTTCAGGTCAAAAGAAGTATCACCAGACATGAGCACTATACAGGTAGTCAAAGAAGAATAGTGAACCAACACAGAACTTGTGTTTTCAGTCGCCACACGCGGGGCGATCTACTAAAGATGGGATCCGAGCGCTCATGGACTTGTCCGATGTGAAGTGAAGATAATACGTCACTAACTAACTAACTAACTAACTAACTAACTAACTAACTAACTAACTAACTAACTAACTAACTAACTAACTAACTAACTAACTAACTAACTAACTAACTAACTAACTACCTACCTACCTAGCTAGCTAGCTAACTGACTGACTGACTGACTGACTGACTGACTGACTGACTGACTGGCTAACTAGCTAACTAACTAACTAACTAACTAACTAACTAACTAGCTAACTAACTAACTAACTAACTAACTAACTAACTAACTAACTAACTAACTAACTAACTAACTAACTAACTAACTAACTAACTAACTAACTAACTAACTAACTAACTAACTAACTAACTAACTAACTAACTAACTAACTAACTAACTAACTAACTAACTAACTAACTAACTAACTAACTAACTAACTAACTAACTAACTAACTAACTAACTAACTAACTAACTAACTAACTAACTAACTAACTAACTAACTGCTTCTTCTTTTTTGTTCACCGACTGTGAGGTCCTACAGAGAGTCCTGGTTGTTCGTCCTTTTGTACTCTGGCTTTGTGCCAGGGCCTGAGTTGTGTGTGTACATCCGTTTTACTTTCTTATTTGTGTGCAGCTGGTTGTACCTTGCCGCTCGTGCAGACGCACTCCGACTTCAAGGAAGCTTCCAACTCGTCGACGCTTACAACGAGGTTGTTTGGGGGGGGGGGGAGCACTATGTTTATTCTTGTTTACCCCATAATGGGGCCCCAGAATACACACGGGGGGTGTGTATCTACCGTGCCTCTGTTGTTATGGACGGTTGTAAAACTAAAGTTAAGGACCTGTTTCCACGCCTCAATGCGTTCTGGGCATACAGCACTAGACCTACATTTTACAGAGCACTGGCACTCGGTGATTGACATGGTAAACAGCACACCGACCTCTTTTACTTCCCAGGACTTTACCTTCCACCCACTCCAGGCTGAGTCGTCATGGGAGCCAAGGTCATTTCAAACGCGCTATATTTAGATCCGCGGGCGAACTTCTAGCCGCTACACCAAGGGAGCTACCTTATGGATGGTTGCCATCACCTGAATGCTGTCTATTTTCTACCCTGGATATTTGGTTGCCTATGCTGTTGTCCAGTCTATCATCTTCTACCCCGAGTGGCTGAAATTCCGTAACCTCTTTTTCAGCTTTGTTCTTTACTCACATAGATGTAGACAATTTATGTGTTTGTGTGTTTGTTTGTTGCTGATATGCTATGGAACTCAAACAGCCCATTGAGTTTAAATTATTGTTGGGAAATATCTTCTCTGTTCTTGGGTCATCGTTGATACTTGCTAACTCTAGGCGATAACACAAAATACTTTAGATTAACTTGATATTGATGAGCTGTCGAGTTTTCTCCACCTTCGAAATGCATATTTTCAGGAGGTATCCGTGACACGACACAGACTAGACTCATCAGACACTTCATCGCCGTCGTCACCCCGCAGACTTCCACAGCTGAGTGACTGTGAGACCCAGAACACCTGCCACTTCTCACTTGCGGACTGTTCACCGTTTCAGGTAGATTATTCTATAGTATGTTTCAAAAGTCGTCACCTCACACTAAAACTAATGCCTCGAAAAACTCCTGTACAGATCAGCAAGAATGTTTGTATGTTTTCTTTTATTTCCCATGTCCTTGTTATGTATGTGTGTATGTATATGTATATATGTGTGTGTGTGTGTGTGTGTGTGTGTGTGTGTGTATGTGTATATATATATTTGTCTGTGTGTGTACACACGTATACACATACACATACACACACACACACACACATTAAAAGAATGTGTATGGCAAACATTCTAGTCAGTTGTGTCCTATTCGCCACAGGATCCATCAGATCTGGTTTTCCTACCTGACGTGTCGCCCAAGTTGGTGTCTCCTGTGAGTCCCAGGCCTAGAACTATTCTAAACTTGGACTTCAGTCGAGACGCCAGCTCGGCTGCCTCTGATTCTGGGTGAGTAGTACAAAAGCTAGCCATTGTTGTCAATTGAAATAAAGCAACGCTAATTCCAAATAAATATCGTATTTGTCCTTGTATAAGGCGACAGGTTTTCTCAAATGTTTCAGGTTCAAAATAGGCGGTAGTGTCATACAATGGCGCGTCTTACACACGAAAAGTAAAGTTGAGAAATGTAAAGTAAATTAAGTGCGATATAATGGAACAGAGGTTTAGACCAGTGGTCTCCAATATTTTTCATACTGCCTCCCCCCCCCCTCCCCCTCCCCCTTTTGTGTGTGGAGTAAATAACAAGATCCCTATACCATCCAACTCCTTCCACACAACAAAATGTGATTACAAAGAGAAGGACACAACCATCGCAAGAACTGTTGATAACAATTTGGACAAATACATCCACACAAGTCAAAGTGTCAAATAACAAACATTACTCGATTTATCTGTTCAAATGTCTGTAGCTTCTCTAACCTCATAGAATCAACTTTTACTATCGCAGCAGGTTTCACTAACCTCGTAAAATCAACTTTTACTATCGCAGCAGGTTTCACTAACCTCGTAAAATCAACTTTTACTATCGCAGCAGGTTTCACTAACCTCACAGAATCAACTTTTACTATCGCCGCAGGTTTCACTAACCTCGTAAAATCAACTTTTACTATCGCCGCAGGTTTCACTAACCCCGTAAAATCAACTTTTACTATCGCAGCAGGCTCCTCTAACCTCATATAATCAACTGTTACTATCACAGCAGGTTTCACTAACCTCGTAAAATCAACTTTTACTATCGCAGCAGGCTCCTCTAACCTCATATAATCAACTGTTACTATCACAGCAGGTTTCACTAACCTCGTAGAATCAACTTTTACTATCGCAGCAGGCTCCTCTAACCTCATAGAATCAACTTTTACTATCGCAGCAGGCTCCTCTAACCTCATAGAATCAACTTTTACTATCGCAGCTGGCTCCTCTAACCTCATAGAATTAATTGTTACTATCGCAGCAGGTTTCACTAACCTCGTCAAATCAACTTTTACTACCGCAGCAGGCTCCATTTGTGTGTGTGTAAATGATTTTTATTTCTACGTGGTAGTGTCAATTTTACTATCAATCAATCAATCAAACAATCAATCAATAAATCAATCAATCAGTCATATGCCATCTAAATAAGGTCGGCTGCAGTGGAGCTGAGATATTTGGGACTTATCAAGCGCCATGGTGGAGAAGAAACAAATAATATAACAGAATGCATGTTACCAGGAAGGAGGAGAAGGGACTGAACAACACGAAGGTGATCACAGGATGTAAGTGACTCCTTGAGTATGAAAGTACTCGAGGCGAGAGAACTGGCGAGAGATTGAGTTTATTTCAGGCAGACTGCGGCGACAGCGGCGTTCTGCAAAAAGCCTGCTACATGATGATGATGATGCAATGGATGTCCAACTTTCTCTCTCTTGTCTTGTTAGTTACGCTCTCTCACAATACTGTTCGTAATCTCTTGATGTTGTCTTCCCAGGTGTATCGTTGCCTATCTGTTGCTCGCTTGCCTTCGACTTCTTGTCTAGTAAAGTTTTTAAAAGAACGTTATACTGAGTAATGTTGCAGAAATGTTCCAACTGTCTTTGTGTGATGTCTCCTGATGGATCTCTTTTTTCTTCGTAATTTGTCTAGAACCGTTATGCTTTCATTATCTTAACGTTTCCTTATCTGTGTGCAGAAGCAGTGACCCAGCGTCCCCAGACGTCCCCAACTTTCAGAGTGGGCATTTCCAGGTAAGCCCATTTCTTACAAACTGCCCGTTGTCATTTTATTGAGAGCATAATTCAGGCACAGGCACAGAGCCCTAAGGTTCAAGTCCAACTAATGAACTAATTAACCAACCAGCCAACAAACCCCGTAACCAACCAACCACCCAACCATCTATGAAACCAACCAGCCAACAAACCCCATAACCAACCAACCACCCAACCATCTAGGAAACCAACCAGCCAACAAACCCCATAACCAACCAACCACCCAACCATCTAGGAAACCAACCAGCCAACAAACTCCATAACCAACCAACCACCCAACCATCTAGGAAACCAACCAGCCAACAAACCCCATAACCAACCAACTAACCATCCAACTATTTTGAAAACCAACATTTCGTTAACTTACTGGTTTTATCGTGTGTTAGCCAACGAATGAAACAACATGAAATAATTATTTAACAAACAAACGAACAAACAAACAATGAAAGAAGTAGAGTCTGACGACTTGTTAGTTGTTATTCTCAAGTATTATGTATTCCTATTTCGACAGCTGAGTTTAACAGATGACCACAAATGGGAAAAACTCCGCTCACTTCTCGTGGCGATGAAAGAAGAACCGTTTGACGTCGAGGAGAGTTTGAAGGCAACAGTTGGTCCGTGTGGGAAGTCTCCAGACAAACTCAGCTCGCAAGAGGAGCTTCAAATTGAACTGGCAGTAGTACAAGATCTTCTGGATGACAAGGTGTAACTTACTGTTAGAACTTCTTCATTTTATTTATTGTCATCGTGCAGCAGTGCTCAGAAAAAGATTCCTTCCATCACAGGTCATTAGAAAGATGCCTGCTTCCTTGCCAGTTATTCCTGTGTCATCTTCTATTTCCATGCTTAAAGTATCTCTTCTCCTTTTGATTCTCCTTGCCAGTGATTTTCAGATGACAGGGTCATAGGCTTCTATAAAGCCTCATGCATGTCTTTCACGGACCTTTACAGCTTGGTTCCCACTGGGGTGTTAAATGTCCGGCCTTGGGATCTCCCTGCTGCACGTATAAAGCGTATCTGCAGCACAAGTTCAGTGTTCGGGAGTGCCTCGGTATCCCCATTGTCCTATATCTGTGTGGTTTTGTTTAAGAGGAAACAAAAAAACCTAAAGTAGAAGTCTTTCTGCACCCCGGCCCCCCCCCCCCCCCCCCCCCCCCCGGGCTATCACCTGCAAATGTAACACCTCAGCTACTCCGTGTGTTGCTTCCTGGACGACAGTCCACCAGACAAAATCCAAGATACCTTGATTAACCTACAAGAGGTAGACATCGATACAGTGGGGAGGATAACGTCAAAATGTGGACGAAACACAGAATGCCAGACAAACAGAGATTATACAACAATGACAAGAAACATGACCCGAGCCACCCGGGTTCAATTCCCAGTAAGTTGATGGGGTTTTTCTGTCGCTGGCACAATTAAACATTCTAACCTGCACAGTCTGTGGCGTCAACACTAGCCTAAATCCTCAGGATCACGACCTCAACCCCCTCCCCCCTGTCTACACCACCCTAAAAACTGGCACATACAGACAATTGTGACAGTTCTTAATATTTTGTTTTTCAGCGTCACAGTTTTGAGTGTATGTGTGCGTGTGTGTGTATGCGTGTGTGTGTGCGTGTGTGTCTATGCGTGTGTGTGTGTGTGTATGCGTGTGTGTGTGTGTGTGCGTGTGTTCGCCCTGGAGTTGATGTGCACATGAAGCAGAACAAAAAATATACGTATATTTTGACTGTGAGGTTACCACGCTAGATTGTACTAGAAATAAATCTCTTTGTTCTTAACACTGCACACGTTGTATGTAACATATCGATTTACTTGTAGACTAGACAATCTGTGGATAATAATTTTTTTTTTTTCTCTATTTCACAGAGGAGGGAACTTGAGCAGATTAGACAGGAGAGGGACGCGGCGTTGATGTACATTCACAGTTTAAAAGTGAACGGAAGAGGTAATTTGTAGTAGTAGTAGATTTCTGCCCCACCAGGACATCACACAAGCGATAAACACCCGCTAGCATTACAGTCTGCCTTTTCAGACCCCTGTATTGGATTATTGTTTCCACTTTTGTCTCCTGCGTTCCGGGGTTCTATTGTAATGACGAAACAAGAACAGTACCACTATCACAAGCAAGCATGTCGTAAAAGGCGACTAATTAGGAGCCTGTTGAAATCGTGTTGAACCAACATTGCGCAGATATTTCACATTAGCTGTAAACTATAAAGTACCAACCGGTCTTTTTAAACGCGAACGCAAAAGAAATGTTTTTCCCGTTGACATAACTGTTTCCCTCGTCACATCTGCGGACACTGTGCTATTTTCTGATTGCTTGTTCTTTGTCTAGCTCTTTGATTGTTTAGTAGGAATGAGTATAATAATATTTGACAATTCTCATTTTTAATATTTTCATCTTGTTATGTCGGTGACACACTTTTTAAACAACAATAGTTCGCGACATAGTAATTTAGTATACTAACAAACCAGAGATTAAAGTTGAGTGCCGGTTATTCTGTTTAACGTTTAACGTTCACGCAACAAACCTTCACACTGCAGTCAACAAACTAGATGTTTATGTTTCCTTCACGTTATTGTAACTGCTGGGGTTGTTCACATTTTATGGCATCAAATATAATTTTTGCAGATTCCCTGTCATCTGATGAGCCTGGCAAGGAAGTCATCGACTTGTACAAGTTGGGACTGGACAGTCTTAGGAGTCCGAGCGTTTCCAAGGTTACTTCGTCCTCATTATCATTCTCATCTGCGTCATCATCATCATCACCACCACGACCAGCACAACCAACACCAACACAACGTCATTTAGTTGTTCTTCTTCTGTGCTTTTCCTTGGCGATGTGGTCGAGTTGTTTGCCTCACGTGCTGAAGATCAGAAGTCGCTGTGGCGTTGGCGACTAAATGGAAGTGGATCGGAAGGTCGTGGGTTCGCGTCCTGAACAAGCCGGACTTTCTTTCAAAAATGACCTTGACTCCCAAGTTGACCCAGTCTTGAGTGGGTACCAGGTGCATTCGTGGGAATTAAAGGCGACCGGCGTGATGCTGACCACATCACCCACCAAGTGCCGATTGGTCTATAATATATATATATATATATATATATATATATATATATATATATATATATATATATATATATATATATATATTCCCAATAGGCCTAAAGGCGTGGAAAAGGTACCGTTACTATTAATATTGTGGTTATTTGTATTAATACTATGGTTATTTTTATTATTATTTTTAGTAAACATCTTTAAGAGGTAGAAAAGCTAACAAAGCAATCCTCATAGAGACGATGGAAGTCGTAAGCTTAAAACAATTAGACGTGGACAATGTTTTATTCTAACGTGGTCTGAAGGAAGGGACTGGAGAACTTGATAACAACTTGCAAGATTGATGAAAAGAAAGCAAGAGAAAGGCAGAAATTGACGGAGTGAGAGAAGAACATTGAACTGATCCATGATGGGAGTGGGTGGGTGGAGGGAGGAATAGACCCACAGTGCCCCTAACAAGCATGTCGTAGGATGCGACTAAATTGGGGTGTTTCTTTTGGAGTCGGGATGCATCTGTCTGAGAGGCAACGAACTTAAAGTATGCATACCAAAAAGCCAGATGCAACAGAACTGTCAGTTGATTGGCTGAACACTAAGATGCAACTGAACTGTCAGTTGATTGGTTGAACACTAAGATGAAACAGAACTGTCAGTTGATTGGTTGAACACTAAGATGCAACAGAACTGTCAGTTGATTGGCTGAACACTAAGATGCAACTGAACTGTCAGCTGATTGGTTGAACACTAAGATGCAACAGAACTGTCAGCTGATTGGTTGAACACTAAGATGAAACAGAACTGTCAGTTGATTGGTTGAACACTAAGATGAAACAGAACTGTCAGTTGATTGGCTGAACACTAAGATGAAACAGAACTGTCAGTTGATTGGTTGAACACTAAGATGCAACAGAACTGTCAGTTGATTGGCTGAACACTAAGATGCAACTGAACTGTCAGCTGATTGGTTGAACACTAAGATGCAACAGAACTGTCAGCTGATTGGTTGAACACTAAGATGCAACTGAACTGTCAGTTGATTGGTTGAACACTAAGATGCAACAGAACTGTCAGCTGATTGGTTGAACACTAAGATGAAACAGAACTGTCAGCTGATTGGTTGAACACTAAGATGCAACAGAACTGTCAGCTGACTGGATGAACATTAAGGTGCAACAAAACTGTCAAGTGATTGGCTGAAACACTGTTTTCTTTTGTGAAGTCTTAACAATTTGACTTATTAGATTACAAAGATTGTGAATATGTTTTCCTGGTATAACTTTGTGATTCTCCAACAGGACAAGGTGATTGACTTGCTACTGCCCCTGGTCCGGGAACTGCATAAACAGAAGGCATACCTAGACCGACTGGTGACCGTGATATTGATAAGGGCGCCCTGGATCTTAGAAGATGTTGACAACATGGAACTGCCTGATTGTGAGCCCCTGGAGTTCGATAAGGCTGACGAAGGGAGATGAGCTGAATTGACTTAAACCGACAGCACTGCACTTGGGACATTCCCATAAGCGCTATGTCCCCATCTTAGCAGCCAGCGCAGAATTCCACAACCGGTTGTAACAGTGTCAGTCTGTATGTCCGTCGTGCCTTTCCTCCCAGTCTTGGGCGTTGACCATTTCCCACTGGTTACTGTCGTTGCACCATTCTCGTCAGACCGTTCCGATCCTTTTGTGCTCTGTATAATTGACTCGCTTCCGAAAGGCCTTGATAGTTTCTAGCGTGTCTTGTGCCAGCGTACCAATCAGTGGTATGATAGTTTCTAGCTTGTCATGTGTCTGTATACCAATAAGTGGTATGAAAGTTTCTAGCTTGTCATGTCTGTCCACAAATAAGTGGTATGATAGTTTCTAGCTTGTCATGTATCTGTCTACCAATAAGTGGTATGATAGTTTCTAGCTTGTCATGTGTCAGTCTACCAATGAGTGGTATGATAGTTTCTAGCTTGTCATGTGTCAGTCTACCAAAAGCGATCCTCATCCGCATGGTGGCACTTTGTGTCATCGGGTGTATATCGCTTGTGTGATGTCCTGGTGGGGTAGAAAGTCAGTCAGTCAGTCAGATTTTCGATCTATTTGACTTCCGGACGAACCCGCGTAACCTACCTAGCGATTGTGCTTTGCACAATGGGCTAGTCAACAGGTATGGGACTCGCGTGGAAAGTCCGTGGTCTGACTGATTTCGGTTCACGGTACGTTCAGTTGGTTAGATGGTTTTAAAATAGATTTTCATTTGTATTCTTGCTAAGAGATAGTTGGATGGTAGATCGCTATATATTTGTGAGGTTCTTGCCGAGCACGTTGTTGTCGTTAATGTCGTTATTTGTTGACCACGCTGATGTGATGTTAAATAAAATTGTGTTCAACGTTGTAATCATAGTTACAGTTGTTTCCTTCAGCTTAGGACTTGTAGTTAGTGTGCTTAGTTTATTTTATTCGTTTTTTTGCCTGGGCTTTACACAGAAGATTTCTTGCCTGGGTGAGATATTCTGATCTCTCCCCCACCAAAACGCACACACCTACTTACATACATACGCACACACACACATAAAACGCACACACCTACTTACATACAATCGCACACACACACATACATGCATACATATACATACACCCGCATACTTACACAGCTACATATGCATACATACATCCACCAACATGCAAACATACTTGCTTACATACACATACAATCACACATACACTCATATACAATCACACGTACACCGACATATATACACCCATATACTTACTTACACATACTTACAAACCTAAAATTACATACATATATACACACACATACACACACACACCAACAATCACACACACACATCTACATACTACATTATTAACTACATCTATGGTGGCATATAATTACTAGGTAGCATGCATTTTAAAAGGCTGCGGTTAAATGAGTACATACCTGTATTTTTCAGGTCGAGTGGGAGGTGATTCCATAAACGAGCAGCAGAATATGACAAACTTTTTTTTTTAATAGATATATTAGGCTTTGGCAAATGCAATAAATTTTGCTGTTAGCTGTTCTTAGGGTTGGTGTTCGGAGCTAAAATTTTATGAATAAATTTGGCTTTATTAAAAATTAATTGTTTATTAAATGGGAGAATTCTTAGATGGCTATAGAGATGATTTTTGACAGTGTGTTTTCTATCTGAGACTGTAAAGCGCGATTTTTTAGAGAACACAGTCGTTTTAAGTTAGACCGTGGAACATTAGTCGATATGGGCTTGAATGTATGATACATAAAATATTTTTCGTGTGCTCTGATCTAGAAAGTGCTGAATTTTGGCTAACTGATAAACTTTTTTTGCTACTTTTTTGGTTATGGCATGAACATGAGAACACAAAGTTAGACTGCTATCAATTGTAACGCCCAATGTTTTGTGTTCATTAAGATTACTAATAAGTAATTTGCCAACATAAGATCAAGCGGAGGCTTAAGTCTAATGTCTGTAATATTTGTCTGGTTGCTATTACCATTGATTCAGTTTTAGTTATGTTAATTTGCATGCGATTAGCATTACTCCGTTTAATAAGCTTATCTAGTTCATTTTGTAATGAACGTCCTAACTCATCATAGTTCTCATTTTTGGTGTATAAGTAAGAAGAAACTCTACAGGGGAGCATGTACAGCAGGAGTTTACCAATCATCAGTAAAAGTAATCTCTTGTTTCGGCCCACGAGCTCCTAGACATTTTCAGAGAGTGGGCCCACCTGAATTCATGAGGCTCAGGGTTGGTTTCTCCTGCTGCACGTATTTCCGGATGTTATCGGACAGGAACAAGACGAATTGTTGACTTTGCAAAAGGTATTGTGAGATATGAAGTCGTTGCGGTAGCATAATTAAAGCAGTCTGCTTACCTGGATGACCAAGTGGCAAGCTTATTTTTGGTTTACTGGACACATGTTGGACTTTGTTGGCAGGTGGCAGAGGGAAACTGGCAGACAATTCGGACACGATGGACTCTAAGGGATAAGAAACCCGGACTAGCTCACAGAGGCCTGTCCCCCACGAAGTTCCGTTGTGTCCAGGGCCAGCTCGAGGGCCTCTCAGCAACTTCGCCCAGTTGTTTGATTGTTCTTTTGCGTTCATTTCCTCGTAAGCCTAGTTGTTTAATCACATTGTAAAGTTAAGTGGAATGGAGACCTCTTGCGCCTACCTCGACGGCGAAGATTCTTACTGTGTACGCTTCGTCTCTCCTCAGACCGGCTGGTAAGTCACTGCATTTATCGAGCTTAAACATATGGCTTTCGTCCATTCGCGACTCACGGCACGGTCAGCTCAATCAGGATGAGCTGACGTTTCTCCGCAGAGTGGAGAACTATGTCAGGTCGCAGACTATTCCTCCGGATTAACATTTGGGTCTGAAGACTCATGCAAGAGCATGGCGAGTCTTACTTTGCCGACTTTAAACTTTTCGGTTTTTGATTTGAACGGGAGTACTAGCTTAGCCTGTTTACAGTACAGAGCCACGCCAGTAAGAGAAGGCGGTGCTCCTAACAACTTCCTCATGGATGTGTTGATTTTCCGCTTCATCGTCTCCACTGCAGTCATCGTCACTTCGTAGACTAGCAGCGGCCAGAGGAGCTTTGAAATCAACATAAATTGGAGACACTAGACCTTGAACTTTCCGATTAGCCTGCTGGGCTCAATCGCGAGCAGGTCTGTAGCCAGTGACTCGTGTATTCGCCGGACCTCCGCTCTGTCAGATAACTTCGAATCGTAAACGCGACCAAGGCTCTTCACCGGTTCCTCTAGAACCGTGGGGATTTTATTCCTTGCCACCGTAAAATTGGTTGCCGCTACCTTACCTTTTAGGATTGACAGACTCCTCGACTTCTGGGGTTTGCATTGCATACCGCTCCATTGGACCACCTCATCCAATCTTTTCAGAATCGTGCGGGCAGACACCTCGCTGCCCGTGATTATAGTCGTGTCATCCATAAATGCACGTAGTGGCGGCATCCAGTGATCCCCAATTGGAAGGTCCTGTCCGTAGCCGGCCGCCCCGTCTAACATGACCTGCATGGCCATGACGAACAGTATTGGTGAGATCGTGCACCCCATAGCTATCCCAACCTGAAGCTCAGTCCATCTCGTGGTAAACGTCGAGGTGGACAAGCGCAAAGGGAACTTAGAGAAATAATACTCGATCATTTAACCATAGAAAGTTACTGCGGGTCGCACTGCTTGGGCGCCTGGGCGGGGAGTGACAATGACATCTACCTCACACGCAAAACTCGGAGGAAAGGCGTGATGGACGTAGAAACAAATTTATGTTGGTACCACAAAACGTTGGAACTCTTTGCTGTCTGCTGAAAACGGAGCACAGATTGGAATGTACTGAGTGTTGTGATTTTGATTCTTAATTTAACTCAACTCAGCTTGTCGAGATAGCCATTAAATATATTCAAAGAACAGAAACACAACCGATCGTAATAATGTGGGCTTTATTTGGCCATAGACAATCTATAGTTTGCGATCTCAGATGCAGCTGAGTTTCATACGAAGACGACACTTCATCTCTAGTGACCAGTTTGTGTAGAGAGAGACACCCCTATGATGTTGTTCAGTGCTTCTCAGTGTACTACCTTGTCCATGGCACGATCAGAGTTAATCTACACAAGGAAACAGGTTCAAACAATGAAATGTTTATCACAGTCATATTTTTTAGAACGATGTAAAATGACTATTGTTTATACTCAGGTTTCCAGTAATACATAAACCTCTAATCCTCTTTACAATGTGGTCTACTTCAAGAGCCTGTTGGGCGTCATATATTGAAGTTCACCTCCATCTCCACCCAACCCTTTTTTTCCCTTTTGTTGTAAAAATCATAACACTATAAATGATATACATCCGGTGACTCAAAGAACCCTATTCAGCTAGAAATATATTAAGTGCACATCTGAGACACCCTGTTAAAATGTATAACGCAGATCCCCCCCCCCCTCCCCACCCCACCCCCTCTTATTACACTGTTGCCAACCTACAGTTACATTGGCGCCCATCTACAATTACATTCGTGCCTCCTTTAGTCACACTGATTACCCTCCTCCTCCCCTCTACAGTTACACTAGTGCCCCACCCCTTAACAGTTACACTGGTGTCCTCTACAGTTACACTTGTGTCCTCTACAGTTACACTTGTGTCCTCTACAGTTACACTGGTGTCCTCTACAGTTACACTGGTGTCCTCTACAGTTACACTGATGCCCTCTACAGTTACACTGGTGCCCCCCTACAGTTACACTGGTGTCCTCTACAGTTACACTGGTGGCCTCTACAGTTACACTGGTGGCCTCTACAGTTACACTGGTGTCCTCTACAGTTACACTGGTGCCCTCTACAGTTACACTGGTGGCCTCTACAGTTACAATGGTGGCCTCTACAGTTACAATGGTGGCCTCTACAGTTACACTGGTGGCCTCTACAGTTACACTGGTGGC